TGCGCTGAATAATTCAAACACACGGTCGCATAGAGCTTTCACTTAATACGGGTTTCTGAAAAGCTTTGAAACATTGAACATTGTGTATGGTGAAATTTATCGTGTGGACTTTTTGTTACTTGTATTTTGATGAAATACATACCGCACCAGTTTTTGCCAAATTTTACTACTACATACATTTATGTGTGGCTTATATAGATATCTCAGAGATGAAATATTTTCCCGCAGTAAAAAGTATCTAATATGTAGACTCAGATAACTAGCTATCATAATACCAAATTTCATTAAAATCTGTCAAGCAGTTTTCTCGTCACAAAGAGACAGAGAAAAATTCAAAAAACTATAGATTCGGCCTCTGTGTCGATAATAATGACTATTTCAATAAGATTTTCCAAAAAATATTTAATGTACAGATTCGGCTCAGAATTTTATTTTATGTATACATTTATACTATGTGAATATACTCTGTTGTGCCGAATATAATAATGTGTTGCTCCTCAGGTCAGGTCATAGTCATAAAGTGCCAAAAATCCAATTCTGTCCCGTCGCTTAAGCGTGAAACAGTAATACATTATAAAAACTTTAGCATTTTTAATACTGGGACAAATAATACTTAAATTCACGCGAATATTTGACATGTTTAATAAAACCATCTTTTCGGATTATTTCGCGGATTTATTTGGATTTTTGGTTCCCGACGTTTCGAATGCTACACAGCAATCATGGTCACGGGAGAGACTAAAGTTTTAGTCCATGCATTTTGAAACGTCCTGAACCAAAAATCAAAATAAATCAGCAAAAAACCCGAAAAGTTATACGTAAACTGTGATATTTATAATAGATTTTTTTCATTTTTGTATTCTACTTTATTTTAACAAAAAGTTATGGCTTTGTTTTATATAAAAATACATTTTAAGTTAATAATAATAAGCCTGTAGTAGTCTTGAGTGAATTGAAAACGTCCATCAGTTTTATTTCTTAATACCATTCAAAAGCTTAATATATTAAGTTTACACATCGGAAAATCCCCACGCGTGTCAGACGGCGGACCGATGGGCTTTATTCTAACCAGATACTTAAAACAATCGTATCATACGTCCGCTATGGAAATGAAATAAACAATTTTCATCATAACATGTGACGAATTCGTTATAAAAAACTAAATTCGTTCACTAAAAAACTAAATTGCATAACTGATATCAGACAGAATTAGAAAGCTGAAGAATAAGCTTTTTATTATTATTATGTTGGGTGTGGTGCCGAGATCGGCCCTAGATACGTCGACCAGTTTTGGTCCATTGTAGCTAAGAATAAGCTTAGACGAATTAGTATTTACGCTTGAACGATTCAAAGTTAAATGAAAGCTTTTAAAATATTTCTATACTAATAATTCCTTTTTTTAAATTAAAATGTTTATAAAACGATCTTCCACCTGAGGTTTCCCCTGAGAGCTATAATGTGGAGCTCTACAAGGTTGTGTCTTCCGGTCAATTAAACGCCGGCAACACATTCGCATCTCTTCTCATCTTATTACTTACCATCAGTTGAATCTTTTGCTTGCTTGCCGTTTTTTCTGCAACGATTTAAAGATTTTTATTGAACATAATAACATACATATTAAAAAATAGTTAGATTGTAAGTAGCTGTATTGGTATAAACTGTGTCGTAGCTATTTACGCCTACCTCGGGACAATAAGGGCAGTTATGTTCTAAGGTTAGTACAAATACATTTTTAGGGTGTACTAGCATTGCCCGAGGCTCCGCCCGTGTTCAGATGACCAAAAACCAAATTCTTAGGTTTTACATATTATTATACTCTTACAGTGCAGTTTTGTATTTTTTCTCAGAAATGAAACATTTTCCCGCGGTAAAAAGAATCCTATGTGTTGACCCGGATAACTAACTATCATCATACTAAATTTCATCAAAATCCCTCCAGTGTTTTTTCCGTGATGCGGTAACAGACAGACAGACAAAAATTCTAAAACTATAGATTCGGCCTCTGCATCGATATTATCTATTTCAATAAGATTTTCCAAAAAATATTTCATGTACAGATTCGACTCAGTTAGAATTTTATTATATGTATAGATTAACAGCATTAGTTACTATTATTAGATAGATACAAAAGAAAATCTGTGTACATCCTTATGATAGCAAAGTCTCCTATATATGCGTAAACTTAATGATAGGGACTATAAATAGAAATCCTTAGTGAAATATAACACGACAGTTGATATATAACTCAATTACTCATGACCAAATCGACTTCGAATAAAACAAGTCTTCACAGTGACACTACGGAACTTATCTATACTATAAACTAGCAGAACCCGCGGCTTCGCTCGTGCTAAAACTACAAAAAAACTCTAAAAAGTGGGTTTCATAAAAACTTTCATCCCCTATTTTACCCTAAGGGGTTGAATTTTAGAAAACGCTGAAATACGTAACTCATTATTTTATAAGGAATAAAAAGTTTCATACAAAATTTTATCCCCTATTTCACCCCCTTGGGGGTTGAATTTTGAAAAATCCTTCCTTAGTAGATGCCTTCGTTATAATATGAGGAATTCGTGTGCGAAATTTCAATTTTCTAGCCTTAAGGGTTTGGCCTGTGCGTTGATACATTAATCAATCAATTTGCCTATATATATATATATATATATATATATATATATATATATATATATATATATATATATATATATATATATATATAGCTTCTATGTTATTTGTAATTAATTTGTTCAACACACTTATTTAAATTCAAAATATAAATAGTATACCATTGATGTTAATTGTTTATTATTTTTTGTTAAATCTAGTAAATATTACTAGCGATTTACCCTCGCTTCACTCGGGTGCTTTTCTAGATACGTTTTTTTTTGAGCGGAATTCTAATTCTTTTTCTAAAATTAAAATTGCCTTAGTTACTCTTTATAACATCGGCTATCTGTCAGTAAAAGTCCCGGTAAAATCAGTCCAGCCGTTTTGGAGATTAGCCGGAATAAACGGACAGACATATAGACAAACGGACAGACAGACGAAAAATTTTAAAAAATGTTTCACGTATAACTACCATAGCTAATTTCATTCATGCATTAGTAAAAAACTTTAATTATTTTAACATTACAAAAATACACTTCAATTTTATATATAATTATCTGTTACATAAAACGTAATAACGATTTTCGTTCTTATTATGAATATTAAGTAGATAAATAATGAAGACCCTGTATACTATCTGCGGGTTCATCGATAAGGGAGATGATACCCCTTTTTGATTAAGCCCAAGGGTAGAGCTATTTGCTTTGATTTATCTAATACAATTAGGTATTATATGTATATAACTTTGATATATAAGAAATACTACTAAATAAGAATAACATTCAGAATTCTACAAACAATAGGTAAATAAATAAATATGTCAGGCCATTAACACACAACACCACCTAGTTCCATGATAAGCTACGAGGCTTGTGTTATGGATACCAGATAGTTGATACATTATACATATATAACTTTAAATACATACATGTGATAAATATAAATATCCATGACTGGAGTACCCAGCGGGACGCGAACCCGCGACCGCTGGCGCAGCGAGTAGGGTCATTACAAACTGAGCCAAACGTGTCGTCGTAAATAATTACGAGAAAATAAACTAATATATTGTATTTAGCCCTTTTTAATATCCTATTGCTGGGCGCGTGTCTCTCTTCAGTAGGAGGGGTACAGGCATAGTCCACCACGCTGCATAAGTGCAGGGCGAACTTCACATGTCTTTAGAAAACTTGCTAGATTCATTTCTTGCTAGAAGGACATTATTATAGTCTCAATGACGCTAATGAAGGTATGTTTATAAAAAATTAACGTCAGAATGCTATGACTAGCTGCTCTACCTTCTTATGTTATCAGATAAACTTGTGAGAAAACAAAGAGAATTTATATATTGACTAAAACACTTACTCATGATAAATCTCAAACAATTATTATTATACGTACATTGAAATATAAATAAAATAAACTGAACAATTGTTCTAGTTTTGTTTAAATCATTATAATTGATTTGTTTTAGGTATATCTTTCAGTCTAATCTAATATATAAATATCTCGTGTTACGGTGTTTGTGGTCGCACTCCTTCGAAACGGTTCGACCGATTTTGATATATTTTTTTAAATAGGTATGAGAATTGAGAATAGGTTTTAAAGTATTTTTCACCCACCTACAGCCACTTCCCATTTTTTAATTGCGGTATTAGTATTTTTGTATGAACAATATTATATAAACATATAGCGATGAACCCGAGCGAAGCGTTGACTCGCAGTATAACATAATGCTAAAAAGTTTTTTTATAGATTGAAAGCGGGTGAAGCCGCGGGTTCTGCTAGTTTTCTATATAAAATCAGTAAGAAAGCCATAAATTATAAAACCAGTGTTCGTCCAGTGATCGAAATTTGACTAATATCATTATTGAAAATTTGAGGAAAACATATATGAATAGAACTTACCTATCTTAATAAGTTCGTTAATAACCACTATACAAAAAAAATCGGTCGTCAAAAACTGGATAAAAAAGTTGAACTATTTAACTTTGCCTATCTATAATATAAATTATAAAAGTTATTTTAAAATAACATAAAATACTATCTAATCATTTTCAATCTTACTTAAAAGGCAAATAATATCGTCTTTTTCTTATACAAATACTTTTTAAATATAATTTAATTAAACATTTGAAATGTACCTCATCCTTTTTTGAAGTTGGTTAATAATAATCAAATTTATGGCAAAAAGGTAAGATTTAACTGATTTTTTTTAAATATATTATTAAAACAGAACCTCTTACTAATGAAATAGGATAAACGCACCTGCTTAAAGATGAACAGTAGATAAACCTATAAGCATTTGTAAACACAGTTGGCTTCAATTTAAAATCAACTCAGTGTTTAACTGCATTTATCAAACAATGCACAAGAAAATTATCGTTTTCGTTTCAATGATAGTTGTGAATATTAATTCTCAGGGCTTCGATAGTGTTATGAATTTAGAATACGAAAATACATTTGATCATGATCTGTACAAAAGTGTTATAGATCCAATCAAATGTAAAGAACAACTGGAATTTCTTCTGAGTAACATATCTATGGCAATGAATTGTAAGTATTTCTTAAGATTATAGTTTTGCAAAGAAAATATGACGTAGAATTCGATTCAATTCAATTTTTTGTTAATGGCTTCAAAGCCAGTTGAGCACAGATTACTTTGCCAATGCCACGTAGAATGGAGAAGACACGAAAGAATAATTTAGAATAATATCTCATTACAACAGCAAGATTTTTATCTAATATCCATAATGAATAAGAACTACCTACATATAGAAATAACTATATTTTTTTATTAATTAACTTAGCAAAAATCTGGCTAACACTGCCATAGAAATAACATCCGTTAGTCGACATCAAAGAGGCGGGTTTCGCAATTCAGTTGTACGGTCTATATGTATAAAAATCAACATTTATATTCAGGGAATAAACCATATCCCATTAGAAATACTTAGTGCAGGGTCAAAATTGTGTATTTTTAATTGTTAAAGAAAAATTAATTTTGTCATGCTATCTATTATTTTAGTCTTAGATGCAAGTGGGAAAATCCCAAATGGACTTATGGTTGGCAACTTAGCTGATCTAGGCAGCTACTATCAATGTTTGAATATACAACATCAACAGTCAGACATGGAAATACAAGGAAAATATTGCATGATACAAATACCTATACAGTATAATAAGTTCACGTCAAATTATGCCGGGAGTTTTACACCTTGGACGAACTTTACTGGCAGTATGATGGAAGACATGAAAAAGCTAATAGCGACACGTAGACAAGTGTCCTTAATATCAGGATTTCGACAATCTTTTTTGGCTATGTAAGTTAATGTGTGTATCAACCCTTTTTAACATCCCACTGCTGGGGGTGGGCCGGGCCTCCCTTTAATACGAGGGGGATCAGGCCTTAGTCCACCACGCTGGCCAAGTGCGGGTTGGCGGACAGTAACAGAGTAAGTTAATATGAGAGTATAATTAAAATGCATGTAATATCCTTTTTAAACGGCTTAAAATATTAACCGAGTGCAAATTATATGAATAAATATATACATGCTATAGGTTTCACTGCAGTAAGTAAAAAAAAACCATCAACTTAGGGTGTGGTTTTTTAATTTTTACGTCATATGACATATCTTCGCCATTTGTAAACCGTTTTTTTTTACCTCAATAAATATTATTCTAAAGACTGAAATAATTACTAAAAGCAAAGTTATTGTTCCTTGTCAAGAGTTTGTTGTAACAAATATAATAAAATTCTAACCGATTTATACAACTTATGGGATCCAAAATATCCAATGGGATTTTGACGCAGGGTCAAGTGCTATTGTCTTTTAATAAAATAACCCATCAAAATTAATGAACGATCAGTGACAGATTACTCCTTTGTGTTGTGCCAGCTTAACGTATATGAGCGATATTGGAATGGAGATAGCTTATAATATCGTATATTTTTTGTATGGGCATATCTTCTTTATCTGTATTAAAAAATACCTACGTGTAGATAAAGCCTAGAACAAAATTAGTGCTTATAATATTCTGGCCAACTTACTGTGTTTATGACAATTTGTTATTTTTTTAAACATATGTAGTCAGATACATATATGTATAATTAAATAGCTACTCACTCTTGCTTCGCTCGGGATCGTCCCTAGGTTGATTCCCCATACAAACTTTCATCTCCATTTTCACCCTCTTAAGAGATGTTTTCTGGGATAAAAACTATCCTATGTCCTATCCAGGGTCTCAAACTATCTTACCTCTTATATATCTTGTCTTTTATATATTATGACAGATATTAAATATAAGTATTGTTTTCAGACAAAACTATACAAGCAATTCTAACAATGGACCATCTATAAAATTATCTTGGGGAATATGCATACCAAAAGTGTGTCGAACAGACGATTTTCTTAATTACATACAGCAACAAAATATATCAAATATCGACAGGAACTTGACATATAAAGAACTTTTCTGTCGTTTATCGAACGATAAGCCATATAGTATCGCTGATTATGTCGCTATGTAAGTTGTTTTGTATAATATATTACAGTAAATAGGTATGTTTTTAACAGATAAGAAAATTGTTATGGTGATTATACTTTAGATAATTTAATTTTTAACCCGTATTTCACCCCCTTCAAGTTTCATTTTCATGACAAAAAGTAGCCTATTTCCTTCTTCACAAGGTTCCATCTATTTCTTTATCAAAATTCATCAAATAAATTCAGTGGTTTAGGTGTGAAAACGTAACATACAGACAGACAGAGTTACTTTTGCATTTATAATATTAGTATGGATTACGTTGGATAATATATTAATACGGAATCTTGCCTCTTGGAATCGTGATAAAACTAATAAAATAATTATTATTGCTTGTTATTTTGTCATGTTTTCAAATACCCCTCAATAATATCTTTGTATGTTTATTTTCATAGATAAGGTTATTAGTTAGAGAGTAAATTTTATAGATTAAGTTATAAATCCTAATCTCACCAAGAACTTCGACTGAGATATTATTATAAGATAATATAATACACAAACTAGTAACAATATATTATATGAACATAATTCAGATTCATTTCATAAATATTTTTTCTGTATTTTATTTCATTTCAGCGCAATATTCTCGTTATTGGCGTTGATAACAGCAATAAGTACTTCGTATGATTTGTATCATGTGTTTGTACTACACTTAGGTGAGTGGAGATATATTGGTCTTATGATGACATATTAAAGGTTTTTTTTTAAGCTATTGTGACAGTGTTATAGATGTCTTTTTACCCGACTGCGGCGAAGCCCATAGGAGGGTTATGTTTTAGACATGTATGTTTGTATGTCCGGCCATATAATGTTCCCTCGTCACTACATAGTATAAAACAAAGTCGCTTTCTCTGTCCCTATATCCCTATGTATGCTTAAATCTTTAAAACTACGCAACGGATTTTGATGCGGTTTTTTTTAATAGATATGGTGATTCAAGAGGAAGGTTTTAGTATATAATTTGTTATGTTTTTGTATACATTGGCTAAAATATAACGATATTTGTTGGAGGTGTCGGAAAAAATAAGACGTCTGGGAGCTTTCAACGAAAACGCTGACTAAACCCTTTGAGATATAACAAAATAATGTATGGTGGAATTGTGTATCTTATATAGGTCTACAGAAAAGTCCGCGATGGCATATGTCTATCTCTTAAGGATAACATACTATACACATTTTAATTCAAAACGTACTAATTAACGTACTAAAAAGTAATTACTAAACGGCTTAATCTATTTTGATGGATCATACGTCATTACATTCGTCTTGATAACGCAAGTGTTATAGGGTATATATATAACGTTGAATCAAAATGGCGGATCCTAAGCACCAATTTGTGTATTGATAAAAAAAATTTTTTTTTTGTAAATAATAATATTTATTTCTAGATAAATCTCAAATAAGCTCGTTGTATCGATGTTTTTCAATTTACACAAATACAACGAGGTTTTTAACATTCAATAATATTCCTGGAGCGTTGGAATGTGTGGATGGAATTCGTGCGATATCCATGTTGTGGGTCATTTTTGGTCACACTTACGCCATGACCATGATTACATCAGTTTACAATATGACTGACGTTATGAAGGTACGTGAATGCTTGATCAATTTTGTTTTTTCAAATGAAAAATATAGCTAGAAGCTAAAAAAATATCCGAAAGCTTTATATGAAATAATATAAAGCTTACATATAAATTAGAATTGTTTATAATTTTTGTAAGTTTATAAAACAATTTCTACTGCTGTTCTCTTTTATTGCAAATTATTGTATAGTTTTGTGAGTAGATACCGTAGGTAATAATTATGCGTTTTAAGTCGTCCAAATCTTAGTCTCTCCAGTGGCTATGCTTGCAGTAAATTATTTGAAACGTTGGGACCAGAAATAAAAATATTATATATATATATATATATATATATATATATATATATATATATATATATATATATATATATATATATATATAATAATTTAAAGGTAAAATTTTATTTACTTGCTTTCAGTGGTTGACATCATTTGGAAGTATATGGATAAACTCAGCCCCAATCACAGTGGATACTTTTTTTACTCTTAGTGGCATACTTTGCGTATATACTGTTATTGGAAAGATTAGTCGAAGTAAGTATTTTAGAGTTTTAATAGTTGCATTAAAACTACATCCTAAGATTTTTAATGTTCTGCACTTTAAAAGGATAAAGGGAACTATTATAAGATTACTTCGTTGTCTGTCTGTTTGTATGTCTATCTATCAAGATCCTTTTACCCAGGAACACGTGGAGGTAACAAGTTCAAATTATTATCAAGTACTCAGGCCTGCGATCCATTGAAGCTGTGATAAAATATATTGCCGTTTATGCCCTATATTTTGACCCTCGCAAGAGAATTAAAACCTTAAGAGTACGGGGGTGATGAAGGCACACACAAATATACACACACATCCTTTTAATGCTTTTACGAATAGAAATATCATATAATCTTAATACTACTGTATCATTTCTACATACTTCGTTAGATAATTGAACAAATTAGACTATTTCTTAGTTTCATTTTTTTATTTGACGACGACTTGGCTCACTTTGTAGTGGCCCTACTTGTCTCTCATTTGTGTGATGAGCACCAATGTTTGTACTCCAGTCAACTATCAACTATCCGGTATCCATAGCACGAGCCTCGTAGCTTACCATGGAACTAGATGGTGCTGTGTTAATGTCCCAGCATAATTATAATTTCATTATTAATATTTACTATACACTAATTCATTTATTTTTAGGGCGTTTCATATCATCATTACATTTATTCTACTTAAATCGTCTTCTACGTTTATTTCCATTACTTGCTGCAGTCGTTTTACTCCAAGCTTCTATATTTCATAGGATTTCTGATGGCCCCATGTGGATAAATAATGCACAGATGGTAGCACTATGTAGAAAACGATGGTGGTCTGCTCTATTGCATGTACAGAATTATGTGAAGCCTCTTGGTATGGTAAGTTTCTGTAAAATTCTTTGTTTCGCTAAAATTAAATTGTTCGAAGAAACAGTGTTTTTTTTTTGTTTCTTTCTAAAGCTATTAAGCTTTTGTTAACAAAAACGATATACGAGTACGAGTAAAAGAGCTGTCTCTACTAGCACTATCAACAACACTACACAACCGAGGGAAGAAAGAGAAAGAGGAAAATTTTTTTTTTACTTTTAGATGAATCACTATCAGTTACCATCACTATTATCACGTACAATATATACGTACAACCTTTGAAAATATAATATTTTTATAGTATTAATGTATGAAATGTATGCTTTGTATAACGCGTGTAACTTGTACATATATGCCTTGTAATTTGGCTAATATTTGTAATATTTATGTGAGATTCACTTAATTTTTCTCTTTTTAGTGTCTCTATCACACCTGGTACTTATCTGTAGATATCCAACTCTACATCATCAGTCCCATACTACTAATTTGGCTTTTTGGCAGTAAATGGATGGCATGGAGTGCATTAGCCACATCTGTTTTAGCCACATTGGTTATGTCGAGTACTTATAGTTTCCTGTACAATTTTTCTGCTGCAATGGCCAATCCCAAGTAAGTGAAGTAACTCGCGGAGATAAAAAATGCGATTGTAAGTAGCATCGCCTCTATTCACTTCTCGGTAATAAACAGTAATTTATGTTATTTTTTAATAATCGATCAAAAAAGTATTATATACACAATCCCATGTTAGTTACACAAAAAGTTCTCTTGAAACATTCACCAATTGTGTTTAGGTAATTATTGTAGTTCAAATAAGTATACGATGTAAGTTGAACCTTAAATACAATTTTTAAAGTTGTTCACAAAAAAAAAATTAAAAGCGCGCTTAAATGTTGAAAGGAGCGCTCATTCGGTGAGGACATTTTTTGTCGCTGATTGTGTATCTAGTACTTTTATAATCAATGTTTTTAATTTCAGAATCAATTTTAATTCTTTATCTGTACGCGTCATTATTTAAACTAGAGTTTTCCAGTGGTCGAAATTCCAGTGTTATTATTATTGAAAATTTGAGTAAAACATAATATGAATTTACATTTTTCTAACATTTTTTTTTTTCGACTTGATGTTGGTTCATTATATGTATCTGAGAATAATAAATACTTTTATATGTACTTATAATATGTATGTATTTAAAGTTATATATGTGTAGTGTATCAACTATCTGGTATCCATAACACAAGCCTCGTAGCTTACCATGGAACTAGATGGCGCTGTGTGTTAATGTCCCAACATTTATTATTATACGTGTATGTATACTCGTATAATACTTAATATATTATAAGTTCTGAATATATGTACATTCTATATATATATATATATATATATATATATATACATATATATATATATATATATTATTTAATTTGTAAGATATTCATAAAAAGTATTACATTATTACAGACATATAAATGAAATGGGCGATTACTTTGAAGTCTATTATATCAACACGTTAGCCCGAGCTCCACCTTTCGTCATAGGGATGATGTACGGCTACATATTAAACTTGTATAAAGGCATGAAACTACAAATGAAAACGGTACGTGTCAGTTGTTGCTTTGACGCTAAATTATTAATAATATACATATTAATATAATTATTAATAATAACGCTTGATATTATGTCCTGTACTAGCGACTTGTTCTCACTTCGCCATAGGTGCATCCCAAGCATGCGGATTTTGTTTACAATTTCATGGGTTTTCATTTTTTTTCGTAGAACCCTAATTCTTTTTTTTAAATAAAAGTAGCCTAAATTATTTCTTATAATATAGGCTATCTGCTAGTGAAAGTTCCGTAAATATCGGTCTAGCTGTTTCAGAGATTAGCTGGAACAAACAGACTGACAAAAAATTAAAAAAAAAATCTTATAAGAACTGTATATACTTTCATAAGCATTAAGTAAAAAGCTGTTATTTTTACACTACAAATTGACACTTCAATTCAGGGTTCGAAACCCTAAAATTCACTTAGCTAAAATAATATATTATATCTAAACATATAATAAAATTCTGAGTTGAATCTGCACATAAAATATTTTTTGGAAAATCTTATTGAAATAGTAATTATTATCGATACAGAGGCCGAATCTATAGTTTTTAGAATTTTTGTCTGTCTGTGCCCGCATAGCGAGAAAACCACTGGACAGATTTGGATTAAATTTGGTATAATGATAGCTAGTTATCCGGGTCAACATATAGGATAATTTTACTGTGGGAAAATATCTCATCTCTAAGAAATCTATACTAACCGTTAAAACGTAACTAGGGACGAACGCGAGCAGAGCGAGGGTGAGTCGTCAGTACTTAACTGAATTTTCCAACAGATGCTAGTATTAACGATATGGACGCTAGCTTTAGGGTCAATGGCATTTTGTATATTCGCAATCTACCCTGTGATGCAAGTACAACACGATAACCAGTTATTGGACAATTTTCTTAACGCGTATATGAGGGCTATCTGGGCGTTAGCTCTTGGATGGATCATTTTTGCTTGCGTTCACGGCTATGGAGGTGATGTGTACTATTTATTATTAAATATTGTTTGGCTGTCTGTACGTAAAAAAAATTGTATGTATACACTATGTAGTAAATAATGTCTCTCGTTTGAGTAAGATTTGAAAAGAATGTCGCATATATGTGTGTATAATGTATATATATTTTTAGATACGAATATCTAATAGGTAAATATGTATTTTACGTATCGAAATATATTAGATTTGCTTTGCATCGGCTGGCACCGGCTTCGAAAATATCTGATTAGGTATCTTTTCTAAATGAAAACCTCCGTTTAGTTATTATTTACATTTTAGTGCCTGGAAGTCGGTTTAATTATTTTTTTTAAGTTTTTATTACCTCTTTAGGGAATCCTTCCAAGAATTGTTTCTATGAAGAATCTAGTGAAAATTTTTAAGTTCTTTTTCTACGAACCAAACTTTAAGCTCGAGGAATTATATATATATATATATATATATGTATATATATATGTAAAAGTTTATATAAATGTATTGAAAAATACTTTATTTTCATACACGTAATATCTTTTTATATTACATTCTAACATGGAGGGTAGTGTTAATACAGCCATATATATTAATTGTTTGAAAAATCCTGTACAAATAAAATGTAACACTTTTTTAATGAGTGTGTATTTTGTTAGCCTTGTTTTTTCTGGTACGTATTTAATTAACGAACTCGCTTAGCTAATAAAATGGAAATCTGAAATAAAATTTGATATAGCGTAGATGACCGTTTCAACGTAGTGGTATATGTGCTGTCAATGCCTACTGGGGAGTAGCAGGTTCGAATCATCGGGATAAATTAACGACATTCGTTACGTTCGGCAAATATGTAAATATGTATATATCGAAGCAGCATTAATTTTCTCTATTATTTTCCATTATTTTATCATGAATTATACAGTGGGCGTTATATGGGAAGTGTTGGTTCAAATGAAAGTCGATGCAATCACAGTTGTATTTCAAATTAACAATAATCACTTTGTACATAGTTAAACAGCACTTCACTACACAGCCATATACCACTTCACTATTACCACGTATAGACAATACGGAACGCAAGACAGTTCCTAGTGGAGCGGTCCTAAGCTTGGCTCGGCTCGAAGGCAAGTGTCTAGCCCTCTTAGCACCCCTCCCTTAGCTAGGCTCCGTCGTAGCACGAAGCTCGCCGAGTGTTGGCGATAATACCGAAGGTGCTGCCATCACTCAGGCGTCGTGCCGCGCTTCGTTTAGCGACCGTATTGATGACCGTCTCCGACACGGCCATCCTGCATGCACACGCCCTCGTGTGTTAGCCCGTAGCCGCGTGTTAGCCTGCAACCAAATAATCAACGAAAATACTTGCCCGACTCGGTCAATCCTGACCAAATAAAACTTAACTTAGAATCTGAATCATCTTTATTCTAACGAAATTTAGCTTTAACGCTAACACCTTTGTTTTTTTTTAAACTCCAAGTCACAATTTATCTCTAATCTAACTAATAACGTCAGTCATCCAGAGCCATGTACCAACATCATTCAACACTTTAATCAAACTAATTTTCAAATTTACTAGCACCTCTGTAAACCACTCTTAGGCCACGGCTTCACAAGCCAACCAGCAATCACAATTGCTCCACAATCCTGGTGCATCCACTACGGGATCACCGTATGTATCATCCTCTCGATGACTACACACTATGGTCATAACAGACCCCGACCTCCGCCAGAACTAAACGCACATCACACACCCACGGTCTATTTAGTTTGAGCTTCCTCAAAAGACCGACTTTTACCAGGCTATGACTACGTAATAGTTACTAGTACGGTCGACACTACTACAGCCGTCAGAATGCTTACATTGGTTTCCATCGACTTCATTAAAACATTTGCTTGGCATGATGATCATTATTTACATCAACCTCTATTGGTACATGACCTACTAGAATTTTTGTGTAAAGAATTTATAGCCGTCATGTTAATAGAAAACCTTTCAATATCTCATGTTCTATCATGATACCATTTTGTAACTAATAACTAGGCAAAACATAATATTTCAAAAGATTTCAAGAGAATGACCGTTGATCGTTACAAAACAAATTTTACTCTGTGCGGAATATTCCGTTTTGATCAATACTAGAAATTGCAAGGACAAAATCGTTAACCACACAATTTGACTGCTAAATGTTATCTTACTAACGAATATTCAGCACCATGATTATAACAAAAGCAATACAGATTACCTCTATGCCATTGAGCATTCGAAGATGGTTGTACAACACATACATCCACGCGTCGTTCCGTTCGTGTTGCACCCATATTGCTGCCGTCCACTTGACTGGCACTACTTATGCACCGGAGCGTGATGTGACCAGGCTTGCCACATTTGAAGCACACCAGAGACTTCATGGCAGGCTGCAATGCCGTTGCTGTCATCGAAGGTCGTTCCACACTGTCATTTACCTTGCTTCTACACTCTGACCGCTTAAGACTCACTTTTTTTGCGTTTCAAATGTGAGAATGCGTGCAATCCCTGCTGCAGTCGATCTCGCGAAGCAGTTTTCGTAGTAAAGGCCAATCGTTGTAATTTCGAATTAAACTGACATAAGTGAGCAAGGAAAGTCGCAATTGCTATCCGATTCTTGCTAGCGTCTTTCCAATGATTAGTCAGTGACGTCATCAGGCGATTTGCGTACGTAACGAGTTTCTTTTTTCATTTGGTTTGTCACTGTTAAAATTAATTAGCATACCAGCCAATGTCTCGGTGGAAATAAATCTCGCCTTGAAAATCACCTTGAACTCTTCCTATGTTATTCTCTGGTATACAAATTGTGATAGCCACGTCGACCCTTATCCTTTTAATTCCTTACTGACTGTTAAAATAAGCTAGCCGCCGTATGGAGGGTATTCGGAAAAACACAAATCTACAGTCGCAAATGAAGATCTTGCGTCCGTATCCATATTGTCAGGGTCAAACTCGCGTAACTTGACGTTCTTCTTCATCTGAGGCATTTGCAAGGCCTCGATAAGAGATCACATAATGACATTTTGTTGTTCAAACATTGCACGCCATTGTTCACTCACAGTTAGTTCTTTTTGCAATTGAACCAACACTGATCCCACTTCTGATATCGAAGCAGCATTAATTTTCTCTATTATTTTCCATTATTTTATCATGAATTATACAGTGGGCGTTATATGGGAAGTGTTGGTTCAAATGAAAGTCGATGCAATCACAGTTGTATTTCAAATTAACAATAATCACTTTGTACATAGTTAAACAGCACTTCACTACACAGCCATAATATACCACTTCACTATTACCACGTATAGACAATACGGAACGCAAGACAGTTCCTAGTGGAGCGGTCCTAAGCTTGGCTCGGCTCGAAGGCAAGTGTCTAGCTCTCTTAGCACCCCTCCCTTAGCTAGGCTCCGTCGTAGCACGAAGCTCGCCGAGTGTTGGCGATAATACCGAAGGTGCTGCCATCACTCAGGCGTCGTGCCGCGCTTCGTTTAGCGACCGTATTGATGACCGTCTCCGACATATATATATTTTTTGTATAGTTGCAAACGTCTACTACGAGTACTACTATATTTATAATATATATGTATTTAAAAGTCATATATGTGTAGTGTATCAACTATCCGGTATCCATAACACAAGCCTCGTAGCTTACCATGGAACTAGATGGTGTGTTAATGTCCCTAGACATTTCATTTATTTACTACATTTCTATATACAAACAGAAAAAAGCAAGAAATCATACCGTTCTTCTCTCTATTTTCTTAAAAAGAGAGAGGGAGAAAGAAATTACAGAATAAACATGAACGTAGAAGAGACTGTATTGGGGATAAATATTATATTTATATTATATAAATAATATATAATTATATAAATACATTATAATATAATTGTATAAATAATATATAACTGTATATTGTATATATAACTGTGAGTTAACTTAAATTATGTTCCCAGGACCTGTTAATTGGTTTCTATCATTACAAGTATGGAAACTCCCAGCGAGACTTTCCTATGCCATGTATTTGATACATTATCCCATCATAATGTTGGCGAATGGAAGTATGGTGTCATCGTATTATTTTACCGACGGAAATACTGTGAGTGTCGCATTTTAGCAATTTGATACAAATCATAGAAAAAGATATAATTTGGAGTCGTTTCTAATGATATTATCAGTTAGATATCATGATTACGAAAAACTAGCTCTTTCCCGCGGCTCTGCACGTGTAGTTCAATAATTTATTACTATATCTTTAAAAATTATAGCCTTTATATTATTCTGGTATAAGCTATATTGTAAAGTTTCATCAAAATCCGTTTAGTAGTTTTTACGTGACAGAGTAACAAACATCTATCCATCCATCTCCATGAACTTACATTTTTATAATTATAATAGGACTTAGGGACTTAGACAAGGAGTCCAGCCCTTTCATAGTGAGGGAGTAACAAACATACAAAAACATACACACAAACATATAATAAACTTCAGTAATAATTATAATTACAATAGTAAACCTATATGTTACAGTTGTACCGTGCGATGGGAGACTTAGGATTCACACTAATTGCTGCGTTTATTATTTGTATTACAATTGATGCGCCGTTCTCTACATTACAAAAAATATTACTACAAGGTTTGTATGTTTATATATATATATATATTTGATTGTTTATTTATAACTAACCTGACGATACGTTTGGCTCAGTTTGTAGTGACGCTACTTGCTGTGCCAGCGGTTGCGGGTTCGAGTCCCGCTGGGGGCATTCATTTGTGTGATGAGCACGAATGTCTGTACTCCAGTCATGAGTGTTTATATTTATAATATGTATGTATTTAAAGTTATAATATAATATGTGTAGTTTATCAACTATCTGGTATCCATAACACAAGCCTCCTAACTTATCATGGAACTAGATAGTGTTGTGTGTTAATGTCTCAACCAACCCGCACTTGGCCAGCGTGGCGGACTATGGCCTGATCCCCCTCGTACTGAAGGGAGGCCCGTGTCCAGTAGTCAGTCTAGTAGTGGGACGTTAAAAAGGGCTAAATTCATTTATTTAATTACTAATGCCCAGTGGAAAATTCGATTTTTTATGTCGATCGATCGTTTACAAAACTTTTTTAATGACAACACTGAAGCTCTAATTAAATTAAAAAAAAACGGTTGACAAACACAGGAAATAGGTACTGAATTGCTTTGTCTTTGCCTATTCATATATAGATAAGTACTCGTAATATAGGAAAAATATAGAGAATAAAATATAATTATATGTATAAAAATTAAATCAATTTTAAAACTTTTAAACCACATTATGATCTGCGATATTTTGATTTAATTAGTTTTTAGCTACAAAATAATTTCCAAAACATTTCTCATATTCATTTAACAAAATACATATTTTTTAAAATATTTGATATAAAATATACTATAGATCTTTTAGTTTGTAACTAGGTACTATTATTTTTTAATATAAAAAATAGAAGTAATTACTTCATCTCACGATCCATCATTTTTATAATATTCGAGAAGATATTATGAAATAGGTTATACTCTTGTAAGCTATTATTAACCAACTTCCAAAAAGAAGCAGTTTTTATGTTTGTCTGTATATCTTTTTTTATATTCGTTTTATTTTTTTCTAGGAAATCAAAAACATTCAGTGAAGGAGACGAGAGTTATTGCTCCCAGGCAAGGATAAACAAAATAAACGGAAAGCAGAAGATGTTATGTTAAGAATCTGAGCATCCGCATTCCAATATTGTGGTAGTGCCTCAAAGACTGGCAACATTGTCTCATTGGAATGTTGCTACAACACATTATGTATATTAAAATATAGAAATTTGTAACTAAAATAGTAAAAGTATACGTAACAGAATAAAAAGCATATACATAACTGTTTGTTTTTCTTTTTTTTTTGTACAAATCTATTTCCGTCCCTTTTACATATTTATACATATAATAAAATTCTGAGTCAAATCTTATTAAATATCTTTTGCAAAATCTTGTTGAAATAGTCATTATTATAGATACAGAGGCGGAATCTATAGTTTGTAGAACTTTTGCCTGTCTGCCTGTTTACGTAAAACTAGGGGCGAACCCGAGCGGAGCAAGGGTGAGTCGCTAGTTACCTATATACAAGCACATTGGAAATAAATCCATTTATTATGTCACATTAAACTAAAGTCCACATTCTCTCAAACAAAAGTGTTCATTATAACTTCTTTCAAATGAAATTTTTAAAAAGCTTTAATTTTCGACCGTGAAAGCTCCATGACTTAACAACTTTAACAGATTTTTTTCCAGTAACACATTTTTTACCTTCAACTACTATATTTGCATACGATTGAAATCAACGAATATTGTTTAGACTCAGACTAAAGAATTATATACGAAGTATCCAATTTTTTTTTAATGTCAGGAATAATAGTCTGATTTTGCTGTTTATGCTAAAGTTCTTAGATTTGCCATACATGTCATTTTTTATATAAATACAAATATAAATTTTATATTAATTAATTTACTACTAAGTAGAATACCACATAAAAATTGAACTTTACAAACAAGCTGTTTCTACACACAAAGCTTATTTAGCCAAAAACATTAACTGCGACCCCATCATTTGTAGTATAGGAAACAGTGTAGCTAGAAGGCAATGGGTTTGCAATTTACCAAAATAACCGATTAAAAGCTTGGTAATTTAGAATTTTAATCCTATTACGTCGTATTGTTCTGTATGGGAATTAGCTTCTCTATTGTGTTGGGGTGATATAGTATTTATGACTTGCACGCGTTAATACTATTAGAGTTGATTTGATTTAGAAAATTGGTCAAGTTCTTATAAAATATTATTTTATATTAAATAATATTAAGTATAATTATATGTATATGTATAAAATAACATAAAAAATAATTGAAATATTTTACCTTTAATCGTATCGTAAATAAATACTTATATGATGGTGATAAACAAGGCACCTGTTCTTGAAAATCAAGATATTATTAACCAGTAAGTAATAATAAAAATTAAAACAAAATGGCTTTTACTTATATTTATATCCTTCTGGAAAACACCTCTTAAAATTGCCCCATCAATCTTTAAACTTTGATCCGAGAGATAGACATTATCTCATACATCTGAATTTCCAAATCTATTGTTGTAATTTTATTACGACTTACACATTAAAATATAGATTTTTTTAGAAAACAAACATTAATATGCTAAGAAACTTACTTGTAGAAATGTAAAAGAGCATAAATTACAGATTTAATTTCATTGTAAGAGCCAAACGGTAATATTCTAACACTTCCTCGTACATCATATTTTAGAACTTGGCAGTTTGCTGCCTTGCAACCACATTTGTAACTTTCATACATTAGCAAAAATAATAGCCTAAAAGCTTAATGAAGTATGGTTTACACTCTGTCTGCATTTGCAGAAATAAAGCCGTGTTGGATATTTAATTTATATATATATATATATATATATATATATACTAGCGGACCCAACAGACGTTGTCCTGTCTAAACGTCTTTAATTTGAAAATTTCAAACTTTTTTTAATAAGCTAAAACATTCTGGACCATTTTGATGAAAATTATTATTCAAATTGTGAATCTAAACTATTCCCAGATCCCCTTGAACACACACAAAAAATTTCATCAAAATCGGTCCAGTCGTTTGAGAGAAGTTTAGTGACATACACACTCACAGAAGAATTATATATATAAAGATATATATATATACATATATACCTATTTTTAACATTGTAAATAATGCCTGAACAGAGGGTTATGTGTGACCTGTAAATGGCTTGATCGATTTTGATGAACGCAAGTATTACAAGGTTTAAAAATTCATAACGGTCATATTGAACTTGGGCAATACTTGCGGAAGTATGAAGCGCGTTCAGCTTACCTCTATACTAGTAGCAGTACTGGTTCAATTCTAATCAAGGCAAATATTATTTAATATTTATTAATATATTATATAAGTACTTTAAAGATACCCCTTTAATTTAGGTTGTATTTATTCGTATAACTTTCTTTTTTTTCATCATATAAAAGATATTACATGCCATCTAGATGCAAATAACACTTAAATGCAGATAATAGAACAAACATAGACATAAGCTTTTATTTACGAAGAGATATTGATTATGAGGTGGTTAGATATTATAATATTACGTCAAAGATAATTTAGAAAAATTTGTTCTAATACAAACCATATATGATTATGAATAAGGTTAAAAATCAATTAGCAAATATAGCATTAATATTTATTAGTTTAACTGAAATTTTAGTTTTTATTTTAATGACTCGTTCTCGAGTCGTCATTTGTAAGGTGTCAGTGAGCCTGAGAGCTAATTGAATATAAAAGCCTCTAAATGATCACTAGATAAATAATAAACTATAAAAATGAAAGTAATCGATAGTGCTTCCGATAAAAGTAAGTATCTAAAAGTTATATTATTATGTTACTAGCGACTCACCCTCGCTTCGTACGGGTTCGTCCCTAGCTTGCTTCTCCATACAAACTTTCATCCCCATTTTCACCCCCTTAAGGGATGATTTCCGGGATAAAAAGTACCCTGTGTCCTCCAAACCTGGCTACCAAATTTAATCTAAATCGGTTCAATAGATAAAGAGATTACCCCCCTACAACCTTATAAACTCACAAACTTTACCTCTTTACAATATTAGTATAGATTACAAAATCTCGAACTACGGTAGACCTTAGGAATGTTTTGTGAAATATCAGTTAAGGATCAAATTATTTTACTTTTCTTTTTTTTTCTTTCATTATTTTTGGAATATTGTTCAACAGTAAAAATGCGTTGTTCTTTGGTGTCGTGCTCCATTTTTACTAACCCTATACTCTCAGCTATCAAACTTTTTTTTAATTGCCAACACTCTCCGCGCAAATTAAAATCTTGCGTGAATTTCGGGACAGCCTTAACATATTAATTGTAATACCATACAAATGAGTTGATAAACGGAAATCAAAATTACCTAATTTTATAAATTTCCATTTAATTTGTGAGTTATCCTAAAATTAAATGGACGAAATGTTTTCAATTAGCCGTAAAATTTTCATTAAACTGATCCGCTCTTATAACAATATGACATTTTGACAGTCGGTGAAAATATTACTTAGCAAAAAGGATAAGTATTAATTATTATGTAATATTATTTAAAGAAAGTTCTCAAAATATAACAATGAAAGTAAAGACATTGTTGATTTTATTTTTATATATATATATATATATATATATATATATATATATATAAAACAGTTCAGTACTACTTTTTCTCTGTTTGTGAATCGACTTTTTTATGGTTAGTAACTATCATAGAGCTTTAGTGTTATCAATAAAAAAAATAGGAAACAGTTTTTTTTATAGATTGGTAAAACAATGATTATGGTCGAATTTCGACGATTGGATAAACTCTAGCTTAATTAAAAACTTTCTCGTCTGAGTAATTAGTATTTCAATTTCATATTTGACGAGACGTTTGGCTCAGTTTACTAGGCCTTACTTGCTGTCCCAGCGGTCGTGAGCTCGAGTCCCGCTGGGGACATTAATTTGTGTAACGAGCACAAATGTTTGTATTCCAGTTGTGTGTTTATATTTATAATATGTATGTATTTAAAGTTATATGTGTGTAGTGTATTAACTATTTGGTATCCATAATACAAGCCTCGTAGCTTACCATGGAACTAGATGGTGCCGTGTGTTAATGTCCCAATATATTTTATTTATTTATTAATATTTTCACTCAATCTCTCATTTGCTCGATAGCGGCTAATTCATTGAGCTACGTACATACAAATATAATGAATGTTCAACGAATAGATATTAGGAAGCCTATATGGATTACGATTTTTCCTATTCAAGTATAGTATTATCTTAAAGCTCATTGTATATCGAAGTAAATTCGAAAATTTCAATTTTGGCTTTAGCTCTTATTAACGTACCACTGCCGGGTACAGGCTTCTGTTTATAAGAGGGGGAGAAGGCTATATGCGGGACAAGTGCGAGTTGGCGGACTTTAAATGTCTTTCGAAAACCAGTTAGATTTTAAAGACATACAAGTTTCCTTACGATGTTTTCTTTTAATGAGTTCGAAAAGTAATCATGTTGTCGTATATGCAAATATAGGAAATGTAACCCGGGATTTGAACCCGTTTCAATAAGTTACCCGAATGAGTGCGTTACCACTGTGCTACCTACAACTGTCTTACTACGCTGCAGAAAAACACTAATTTATGACCTTAAAACTGCTTTTATAATTCCAGAATATGGGTTTGGTGTTCGTCATATACAGATGATCTGTATGTGTTTTGTTATGATCACGTTGTTCATCGCGCGGGGCAGCTTGGGAGTGGCGATATTAGCTATGACTGATGTTAGGAGGAAAAATGAAACAAATATTGATGTAAGTTAATTTGTTGAGTACATAATTAATTATTGCTTAAAATGTTTAATTTTATAAAAAAATATTATAGTTTTCTTTTATTTTGAATGTTTTATGCAATATATACTGTATCGATGTAGTGGCTAGCATGTACGGCTGCACATTCGGAGGTCCTGGGTTTGAGTCCCAGGTCGGACCAAGTTTAGTTATTTAGTCTTCCTCAAGTAAGCATCAGTAATAGCCCGGAGTTAAGAAGTTGGCGGTGTTTCTCTCTAGCGTGACCAAGTTTGCTGTGAAGCATTCGAAACTTTGAGAACATAATAATAAAAACCGCGTTAAATTTAAAGAAGCTATTAATTAATCACAAATGAAATCAATTTTATAAGAAGAGTTATGCCTTAAGCTTTTTAACCTTGTTAAGTTTTTGTATGTTTTTTTTCATTAGTCAACTGCTGAAATAAAATTTATTAGAAACCTTTTCGTTCTTAGAAACATGTTAAATCTGATAACAAACGGAGTATTTAACTACTATTTTACTTTCTATATTTATAATATGTATGTATTAATATTTAAAGTTTTATATGTGTAGTGTATCAGCTATCTGGTATCCATAACACAAGCCTCGTAACTTACCATGGAACTAGATGGTGTTGTGTGTTAATGTCCCAACATATTTATTTTTGTTTATTCAAAAATCCTCTTATAGGTGATTATCATAATTTGTTATTACAGATCTATGATTGGGATAAGAAAACTCAAGGATTGATTCTATCGTCGTTTTTTTGGGGCTACGCTGTTATGCAGATACCGGCTGGACTGCTGTCTAAGAGATATGGGGCCAAACCCATCTTGCTTTTCTCGTTACTGACTAACGCAGTAATATGCGGCCTGCTACCAACACTTGTGCGATTCGTAAGGATTATTTATATTTATTAAATACTAGCGACTCACCCTTGCTTCGCTCGGGTTCGTCCCTAGGTTGATTTTCAATACAAACATTCATCCTCATTTTTAACACTTTAAGGGATGATTTCCGAGATAAAAAATAACCTACGTCCTTCCCAGGGTCTCAAACTATCTTCTTACCAAATTTCATATAAATCGGTTCAGATCCAGAGATTACCCCCTACAACGTCACAAACTCACAATTCACAAACCTCTTTATAATATTAGTATAGACTAACGACTAACCCTATTTTCGCTCGGGTGCAACCCTGTGGTTGCTGTGGTCTGCTTCGGCAGACCTGCCGTCGAGGCGTCGTAGTTGAATGCGTAAGCGATCCTGCGACGCCCCATTAAGACGGGCGAAGGCTTTGTTGGGTTTTAGTGGGTAGGACTGGCTTTGCCGGTGAGTCCCACACCTCGTGCGTAAATGCATTTCCCAACGTTAAAAAAAAAAGGTCATAGACTATCCCCCCCCCTTCACCCCCCAACATGTGTTCACCTTGTCGTGGTGGAGGGGCTCATTAGCTTCTGACAAACAAGCCGGTGTGAAGCCAAGAAATGATTTTTTTTCTGGACTGAGGATCTGTATAATAGATAGAACAGTGATTTACTTGATGTTAAAATTGTTGAATCGCAAAAGTCAATTTCAAGTTACCTCATAATATGATATAAAAAAAACTGAAATATTATATTAAACAAGTATTAAGCGAGAATTTACCATATCATACATATTTTTCAGGGGGGATGGCAAATAGCGTGTGCGTGTCGTGTCTTCATGGGTCTAACGCAGGCATGCCTGTACCCAGCATCGCATACATTACTTGGCAAGTGGTTGCCGCAGCATGAGAGGACTCTCTACACCAGCCTTGTATATGGAGGTATGCTTACGTTATAGCAAAATTCTTGGTAATGCTATATACATATATGGATATTATTTGTTTGTCGTCATCAAATGCATAAACTCCTAAACAAATTCGGATGAAGATTGGCACTCATTTTTCCGAATGTATGGTTAAAGACATGTTTATTTTGATACTGATCAGCAATCAAGGGGTTTTGGTGGGATTACGGAAAAACGTTGCATGTTATAAAAACTAATTTTGAAGGAGGCATAGAAAATTGACATTATAATGATTATTTCATTACTATAATAATGTCAGTTCTTAGACTTGCTAGATACCAAAAATTAACTTTGTTAAATTTGATGTATAGTTTATTAAACGGATAATATCTTTAAAGTATTTTGATGATGTTAGAATCTTTCGCTTCATTGTAATAGATAATTAAAAGTTTAAAATGGATGGTAATTAAGCATGTAGAAGTTTTGCTGAAGCAAAGCTATGCTTAGTTCTAATAAGTTATGTTAATCCAAAGTTAGTGAACTGAACTTTTAACTTGTGAACCCGCGATCAGAAACTTGTCTGAACTAGCTGTTTGCTCTATTTCCTAAGATTTATTTGGTTGTAAATTTTCATACTTGCCTTTATTTATGTTTGAACATAATCTACTTTCTGTTTGTTCAAGTATTACCTTAAGCTTATTTAGGAATTGGGTGTGGTAAAAAGATCGGTCTTTGCTACTTCGACCAGTTTTGATCCTTTGTAGCTTCAAGTATTATCTTACTTATCTGAATAATGGTGCTACTAATAATGCTTTAAATATGGTGCATTTTTCTTTAGTATTTTTATATGCGTCATTTCTCCAATAAATTAGACTGGCGACCGAACTTTGCGTTTTTGAAAGATCCTGTTTTTCGAAAATTGTGTTTTTTTTTTAGAAAAGACACCTATATAGATAAACTTAAAATGCAAAACTATATCTAAATACACAATTTGATCCAAATTGTTAAAGCCGTTTTCGAGATACACGAAATAAATTTATTCAAGATTTGTTCATTATATGTATATTATAAGAGAAATAAAATTGAATTGAACTTTTGCTACATTTTAAACTAGTTTTTGACTATAATATATAATTTTAACTACTTATAATAAACATCGTAATATAAATAAATTAAAACTTAACAGGTGTTAAGAACTCTATGAAAATAAGCAAAAACAGTAGTCTAAATAGAGGCAACTTATTCCAATCGTAATTATGTTTGTAATCCTTTCACAAATAGCAAATAACTCTAAACAAAGAGCAAATAAATTATTATTTACTTAGAACCATATATCAATATAGGGGTGCGTCAATTTCACTCTAGATACGTCGTATTGTTTGTCTATGTAGTAAAACGAACGATGAGTTTTCTATTTAGGTTTGCATTTCATAGATATAATGCTCTTGTTTTAACGCGCTCTTATCGGAAAGATTCATTTATAAGTTACTAGGTGTGCGTAAAAAAATAATTGTAAAAAAACATTTTTCGTATTTTTCTCAACAAACCCTTTCATTTGATATCCGTATCATGGGGGTGCATAAAAACCATAGTCCACCATCGTCGGGAGTCCGCCATGTTAGATTTAGAATGACGTCACTTATCTAACCATGCATTGTCATCTAAACAAAACGTGTATGTAAAACTTCAGTTCAATCAGTTGAAGCGGAATTTGAACCCGCTTGCCTAGTGGTAACGCACTTGCTCGGGAAACTTTATCGTTAAGTACGGCTCAATAAATAACTGTATATACATAAATATCTATAATTAATTGATCGCTATCCACTAACAATGTCGACGCGGAATCGGAAAACGATACATCATGCCAAATAAATGCCTCTTATTAATGATTTTGAATATTTTGTATGTAACAAAATTCCAAAAATTCATTTAAGCTTATAATGGTATAAGCAATTGCCTTTTAAAATGGATTTATATTGTTAAATGATTTTACAAGTTCTTTTAAGGTAACAATTATCTGTTCTTAATCATATCCATTTTACTCGACGATTGTTGCAGATTTAGCAGAGATTTTAAAGCCGAATTATATATTTATGACCACCAGTCCCTGTAGCCAGATGTTGTTCCGCCTAACTCTTTATTTGGTTGGATAATTTAAAAAAATGTGGATTTCAATAACAGCGCCCCCTATCGGGTCCACTTCGACAGATAAAAACTATCCAAGTTACCCTATAAGTACAAATAAACAATTTCACCATAATCAGTCGAGCCAATTATTAGGATATAAATTACTAACCAACTAATGATTTTTAGTATTCGTATTTATTGTAAAAATCTACAATTATTACTGTTAGGAAAAAATATATGTACAAAAAATTTAATATATTTTCAATACTAATTCAAAACAATTTATCACATATAATTTCAGGTTCTCAAATCGGTATAATAATAGCGATGCCAGTATCTGGAATATTAGCTGAGACCGCACTTGGGTGGAAGCTAATCTTTTACTCTATATCTCTATTTATGGTGGTCACCGCAGGAGTGTGGGTATTCTTTTCTGCCAACTCGCCGGGAGACCATAGATTGATGACTGATGGTGAAAGAGAGTACATCGAGAATGGACTTAATGTTGCAGCTCCTAAGGTATTTATTTTCTATAACTGCCTCGTTGGTCTAGTGACAAGCATGTAAGGCTACAGATGCGAGTGTCTCGGGTTCGAGTCTCGGGTTAGGCCAAGATTAATTATTGAGTTTTTTTTACAAAATCCTCAGTAGCAGCCCTGAGAAAGTTATCGGTGTTACATCTCCGTGAAAACATATAGGGCAGATTTATGTATAGGTGATTATTATTATAGGATATGAGGAAGGAGGTGTAAGCTGGTTTCTTTAACTACATGCTTTTATTAGTTTTAATTTAACTATTGTATGGATGGTCAAACACCATTTAAACCCTTATTTTATATTACAATGTATTTTTATGCTTGTCTTATGTAATGCTATTGTATGTTAAATACAGATACTAAAAACTCCATGGAAAGAAATATTTATGGCAAAAGAATTTTATGCTATCATGATGACTCATATCGGCTGCGCCATTTGTTTCATACTGTTCTTTGTTGATATGCCGACTTACTTGGAAAAAGCTTTACAGATTTCTTTAAAAAATGTGAGTATTAAGTATATTACATATATGTATAAAATAATAATACGGGTTTTAATGTTCCACGTCTGGGAAAGAGTCTCCTTTTATTTATAATGTAATCGCTAAGAATTATCGTGTAAAAGAAGGGCATATGATAAAAGGACTAAGGTTCACATATATTACAATGCATGTACGGTTTACATAGTTTTTATAGTAGAATTAACTGCCTCGGTGGTGTAGTGGCTAGCATGTACGGCTGCACACTCAGAGGTCCTGGGTTCGAGTCCTGGGTCGGGCCAAGTTTAGTTATTGAGTCTTTCTGTATAGTAAGTGTCAGTAACAGCCCGGAGTTGGAAAGTTGGCGGTGTTTCACCCCCGTGCCTCGGAGAGCACGTAAAGCCGTTGGTCCTGCGCCTTGACTCTCACCGGTAGTACCTCGTGTCGTCCCACCGGCGTATGGGAGTGACAGGAATTGAGAGTGCACGTTGTGTCTGCGCGTACATTTGTGCACTATAATATCTCCTGCGCAGTTGGCTAGTCTCAATGAGATTGGCCGCCGTAGCCGGAGTCGGTCAGGAGAACATCATCATAGTAGAATCTACATGCAATTCAGTTTACTCTCATTGGTATATAGCACAAACAATCTTTGTCTATAGAAAGCATATAAAAAGGAGCTTAAGAGCGGATCTATTCCACCGGTTGAAATGGAATTCAGTGAGGTTTCAATACACACTATTATATACTTGTAGTATACAAATACCTTAAAAAATCATTGATCCGTTTTAAAGTAATGCGATAATAAATATAAGCATTAAAAAAACCTACCAATGCTATAACACAATAACTTAGTTGACATTCACTTCTTTTTGACGACACGTTTGGCTCAGTTTGTAGTGACCCTACTTGCTGTGCCAGCGGGTCGCGGGTTCGAGTCCCGCTGGGGGCATTCATTTGTGTGATGACAAATATTTGTACTCCAGTAATGGGTGTGTATATTTATAATATGTATGTATTTAAAGTTATATATATGTGTATTGTATCAACTATCTAGTATCCATAACACAAGCCTCGTAGCTTACCGTGGAACTAGATGGTGCTGTGTGTTAATGCCCCTACATATTTATATTTATTTATTTTGGCAATACCGTCCCATAAAATTTTAGTCAATCAATTTACGTAGCTTACTTTCAAAGTGATTTTGAATTGGATAAGGTATTTTGCCATTTACAAGTGCATACGCACGAACGAAACGCAAAGACAAAATATTTCAGTACCTTTTTTCAACAGTCTCGTCTGATAATACTTTCTTATAATACTTTCTTAGATTTACGCCAATATTTGACATTTTAAATAAAACTATCTTTTCGGATTTTGTCGCGGATTTATTTGTATTTTTGTTTCCCGACGTTTCGAATGCTTTACAGCAATCATGGTCACGGGAGAGACTGAGGTGTTAGGTGTTTCTAAGGTATTATATAGTTGTTACAGACAGCCTACCCACAATTAACAAAATGAATTCAAAAAATTGAAAAATGGCACAAAAGTACCTTACAATATTTTAACTTTAAACATTTTTATATAATTTTAATTATATAAAACACAACAGTCTCGTCTGTTTGACAAACGATTTTCTATTTTTTTGTTAAGTTCTATTGTCAAGTCTTTATCATCTCCAGGTAAATTTCTAAGAAACTAATTAAATTTTTAAGAAATCTATTGTTAACTGTAACGCCGGCGTGTCCGCGGTCGTGGAGGGATTAAATTCTCCTCAATTTTTAATGATGATTATGGTCGCATTTCGACCACTCGGCGAGTTTATTTTTACATAACTACCTAATTATGAACCGAAAGAGTTGAATAACTTAAATTTAAAATATCCTACTAATATTATAAATGCGAAAGTTTGTGACGATTTCTGGATGTATAGATGTATGGATGTTTGTTAATCTTCCACGCTAAAACTACTAAATGGATTTAAATGAAACTTTAGATTAAAAATGATGAGCTATAGCTCATACATCAGAATAATACCTACAATGTACGGTTTGAAATAAACGGTTCCCGCGGGATAGATTTGTTTTTGGTTTTTCTAGTTTATACGCTAGTGTTCTATATATTATTAATCTAATCAAGCCTAATACAACGTACAAATACAAACGGTGGAAGTTTATATTTATTCGGATTTTTTTACAGAGTGCTTCATTATCTGCCTTACCTTATATCGGTATGTTGATAGGCAACGTTTCATCGGCGGCTATTTGTGAAAAGCTTCACAACAAAGGATATTTATCGCTCGTCGCTTGCAGAAAACTATTCAACTCCCTAGGTAATATAAAATTTTGAGAAAAAATCACTTAAAAAAAATATCATAAAAATATGTATTTCTTCTTTTCAAAGTTTTTTGTATAATAATTCGCTTTGTGCGAGAATCGAAACGGCGACCTCCGAGATTATGGACAACGCCTTCTTATGTTTATAACTGACTGACTCAGCAAACTTTATATTGTCCAATTTCCATTTCGTTTGTGATTTTCGAGATCAAACTAAATCCTCTATCCTAGTACAAACACTCAAGTTTTTCCCGATACTAACAATCGAGCAACTTTTCCATTTATTTCTGTGTATAACGAACTTTAAAAATAAACCAGCCGAATCTATCTAGTTGGTTTCTGTTGTAGCGCTTATTAACGAATATTTTATTGTTAAAAATTAATTTGACATTTCATTTATTTAATTTAAATATGATTTTATTGTTTTCAGCTTTTGTGGGCATGGCCATCGGTCTCGCAATATTGTCGTTCATTGGTCCGGAACAAAAGAGTATAGCCATCGTGACGCTCATTGCAACACTTACTTTAAATGGTTGTTTTGCTGCTGGATTCATTGTACGTTTCATTTTATTTTACTAATGATATCGTCACCTTAGTGCTTATTGACGATACGTTTGGCTCAGTCTGTAGTGACCCTACTTGCTGTGCCAGCGGTCGCGGGTTCAAGTCCCGCTGGGGGCATTCATTTGTGTGATGAGCACGAGAGCCTGTACTCCAGTTATGGGTGTTTATATTTATAATATGTATGTGTTTGAAGTTATATATTTGTAGTGTTTCAAGTATCTGGTATCCATAATACAAGTCTTGTAACTTACCATGGAACGAAATGGTGCTGTGTGTTAATGACCCAATATATCTATTTATATTTATTTATGTATTTGTTTGTACAAACGACCAATACTTGTGCTTTACAGTAGAAAGATTTTTTCTTCTATTTTCAAAACAAAGCTTTATTTCTATGATGTATATACATACATTTAGCTAATACAGATAAAATACATTTTTCGGCTCTATTAAAGTAAAATGTGTTTTTTATACAACAGAGTATACATTTAAAAGTCAATAATTCTGTACTAAAAACTTTTTCGGTAAATTGGTAGTTTGCACAAATAAGCACTGAGATTCACTATAATTCCCTTGTATTATTATTATATATATAATATATAATATATATAATAATAATATATATACTAATAGTATGTACTAAATTAGTATGTAAATTAGATTCAGGTGTAGTTTAGAACTGTATTTATATAAACTAGCATCCGATTTTTGTATTGTACAAAAAAATCTCATCATAATACCTATCAGAAATGGAAAGCTAAATAGCACATTGATTTGCTAATTTAATGTTTAATTTAAAACGAAGTATTCGTTGGAAATGTTTCTATAGAAACATCAAAAACCCTCTGTTTCATCGTTATATAAGATATTTCTGCCAAATTTTCAGCCAAGACCCAGCGTTTAGGGTAAGAAAATTTTTGTTACATATATTGTAATTTTGTATTTTCAGATGTCATTTTTGGATATGTCACCAAACTACGCGGGTGTGCTGCTCTCTGTAACAAACTTTGTAGCCAATATCGGCGGCATTCTCACTCCAATTGCCACCAGTTTCATTTTACGTAACGATCCAGTAAGTGTTTTTGACCACCATTTTTAATTTAAATTATTTTTAAAGTATTATCTTCTAAATATAAAGATTACTTAAAATTGATTGAAATGGAAATTGCTCTAAACCGATTTCAAAAAAACCATAATTTTTTCTTCGTAGTAAAAAAGCTGAAATATCTTAGCAAGTTACAATTGGCGATATAATCATTAAGTAGTAATCTAGGCAATACTAATTTAAGTTAATCGAAAACAAATCTAAAAACACGTCTAGTATAAAGTTATAATTTTGACAACTATTACTCAATAAAATATTTTTCCAGACAGACACAAGTGGTTGGCGTATAGTTTTCCTCTCGGCGGCGGGAATTGCCCTGTTCTGTAATACAGCCTACCTAGTGTTCGGAACAGCCAAGTGTCAAGAGTGGGATGATCCTGACTACCTAAATAAGAGGAAAGCTGACCCAGGTTCGATAAAGTACTCTATATACAAAAAAGTTAAAATATTTGCTAATACGGCAAAGCAAAACATCATGGAACTTGCTGCTGAAGACTTATAAAGAATATTCATTGTTATTCGGCCAATATAATGTACTATAACCAAGTGTATTACGTCTACCATATCTAACATAGTTCCTTGAATTCTTAGGTTGCCCTTTTTCAGGTATAAGCCAATATATAATACAAGGGCAGTATTTTGAGCATTGTTTTAACAATATTTCATTTCGTCCCCACAATGTATCTGCAGCTATAAAAGGTTAATGTCTCAAACAAACAGACGGCCGACATTTATAATATTAATATTGACTACCTCACCTTTACCTTTTTCGGTTCGCATGCAAGTTTGCAGATTCGGAGTCCTGGGATCGAATTCTAGGTCAGGCTGAGTATAGTTACTGGATTTGCGTGTTAAAAATCGTCAGTACCCGAGATTGGGGAGTTTATGGTATTATACCCCCGGGCTGGGATAAAGCACGTAAAACCGTCGGTCCTTGATTCTCTTATCGCTAATGTAAAATTGCAATAAAATATTTCCTATGTATGTAGTTAGTTAAATTGTAATTATAATAGAAATAGTCTATATCTGTGACTCGTAAAATAAGCTAAATTAATAACTTTCTCATAGATATCGCAAAACGTTTACAAAAGAGTTGCTTCAACTCAACAAGTATAAAACCAGTGCAGTAACCAGAATACTTACTGGTCACTGCAAACTCAATAAACATATGTTTACCCTCGGCCTCAGTCAGACCGCAATGTGCAGACTATGCCATGAGACAGAGGAAACTGCTATGCACATCCTCTGCTCGTGCGGTCCACTCATGCACCGCAGAAGTATCTATCTAGGCCAGCATATTATGCAACCGGAAGAGATACAGATGCTCCCCGCTCAGAAAATCTGGAAGTTCCTGGAGTCAACAGGACTAAGCGGAAAACTTTGAACTCATTCTAAAGGGAGCAACAATGGACCAAAACTGGTCGACTTAGCTAGGGCCGACCTCAGCACCACACCCAACAAAATAATAATAATAACTTTCTCGTATATATTATTAAGTAAAAACTAAAAATAGATTAATTTTCATTACAGAGGAAGTGAAACCGGTTTTAAATCCAGTTAGTGAGAAGACCAAAATGCGGTAATATACTAAAGAAGACGACAAAATTATAGTGTTTATATGTAGTACATAATATTATTGTTTATTTACATATATTAGTGTGTTTAGAATTCAAACAGAAAAGAGAAAAGGCTTAAAAACAACATTTGCAGATAAGATATTTAGACGTTAAAAAAGTTAAATTTTTATAACAATCCTAAAAATTAAACGTTAAAAAAACTCTAAATATAAAATCTAATTAATTTAAAATAAAAAACTAAAAATATTTGTTTTATTCCATTCTAACACCTCTCCAGTGTGAGCAATAATAATCCATAGTATACAAATTAACATAATATTAACAATATTTTCATTTAAAATAAAAAAAGTACAATATTACTTTTTAAATGTTTAAATTTTGAAAAATGAAAACTTTTTTTTGGGACATTAACACACTGCACCATCTAGTTCCATGGTAAGCTACAAGGATTGTGTTATGGATACCAGATAGTTGATACACTACACATATATAACTTTAAATACTAACACCCATGACTGGAGTAGAAACATTAGTGCTCATCATACAAATGCCCCCAGCGGGACTCTAACCCGCGACCGTTGGTGCACTAATCTAACAAGTTATGTAGTATATTCAAGAAAAAAAAACGACTTATTTGGCGTCTGAAATCCGTCATTTTGATATATTTATTTATTTTTAATAATATATCCTTCATGTTATCAAGATAAATCGACAAAAATGACATGTAATTCATCTAAATCAGTTAACCAATCAGTAATTACGTTGGAAGAAGAGAACATACATACATATCAAGGATATACATACAGGTGAAACACAAAACTTTTAGGCTTGGTTGTAGTTGAGTAAGAACAAATTAATGACATTAAAAATTTAAGCCAACTTTGATCCCTAAATTGGGTAATATCTTAAAAGCTCTTCAATAGTTAAACAAATATAGTCTTCTAAAAAGCCACGTTAAAATAAAGCTCTATTTATACTGAGGGTCACCTCCAAAACATCGGAGGTTTCAGATTACAGTTTGATCTCTTCGTGACTTTAAAACTAAATATTATATAATATTATAATATTCTGCGATCAAACCTATAATAATTATGATGATATTTTATGCTTTCTATACCAATATTATAAAGAGGTAAAGATTGTGAGTTTGTGAGTTTGTGATGTTGTAGGGGGTAATCTCTCGATCTACTGAACCGATTTAGATGAAGTTTGGTAAAAAGATAGTTTGAGACCCTAAAAAGGACATAAGATAGTTTTTATCCCGGAAATCATCCCTTAAGAGGATGGAAATGGGGTTGAAAGTTTTTATGGAGAAGCAACCTAGGGAGGAACCCGAGAGTCGCTAGTAATTATATATAATTAATAAACATTTACACACAGCACTATCTAGTTCCATGATAAGTTACGAGGCTTGTGTACTGGATACCAAACTGCCTCGGTGGTGTAGTGGCTAGCATGTACGGCTGCACACCCGGAGGTCCTGGGTTCGAGTCCCGGGTCGGGCCAAGTTTAGTTATTGAGTCTTCCTGTATAGTAAGTCTCAGTAACAGCCCGGAGTTGGGAAGTTGGCGGTGTTTCACCCCCGTGCCTCGGAGAGCACGTAAGTCGTCGGTCCTGCGCCTTAACTATCACCGGTCGTGTCGAGTGGTCATCCTACCGGAGTATGAGAGTGATAGGAATAGAGAGTGCACTTGTGTCTGCGCGTACACTTGAGCACTATAATATCTCCTGCGCAGTTGGCTAATCTCATTGGGATTGGCCGCCGTGGCCGGAATCGGCTAGGAGAACATCATCAATGGATACCAGATAGTTTACCATATTATAAATATAAATATAAACAATAAAAACCCATGATTGGAGTATATTCGTGCTCAACACACTAATGGACCCAGTGGGATTCAAGCCCGCAACCGCTGGCACAGCAAGTAGGGTGGGTCACTACAAAATGATGGATTTTAATTTCGAAAAAATGGAAAAGACTAATACTTTCTTAGATTTACGCGAATATTTGACATTTTAAATAAAACTATCTTTTCGGATTTTGTCGCGGATTTATTTGGATTTTTGTTTCCCGACGTTTCGAATGCTTTACAGCATCCATGGTCACGGGAGAGACTGAGGTGTTACATGTCTTGAATGTATAGTTGTTACAGACAGCCTACCCACAATTAACAAAATGAAAATTGCACCAATTACATTACAATATTTTTTAACTTTAAACATTTTTATAATTTTAATTATAATTGAATATGGAAAATTATTTATTTAATTTTGCTATTATTTTTATAATTATTACAATTTTAAAATATTAATTAGTAATCTATATTTAGTGTTGCCATTATTATATTTATAACCATAAAGAAAAATATAAAATGTGGTATTAATTATTAAAGCCATATAATTGTTCTATGTGTAATTTAAAAAGTTATCCTTAATTAATTTTAACTTTTTAAATTACACATAGAACAATTATATGGCTTTAATAATTAATACCACATTTTATATTTTTCTTTATGGTTATAAATATAATAATGGCAACACTAAATATAGATTACTAATTAATATTTTAAAATTGTAATAATTATAAAAATAATAGCAAAATTAAATAAATAATTTTCCATATTCAATTATAATTAAAATTATAAAAATGTTTAAAGTTAAAAAATATTGTAATGTAATTGGTGCAATTTTCATTTTGTTAATTGTGGGTAGGCTGTCTGTAACAACTATACATTCAAGACATGTAACACCTCAGTCTCTCCCGTGACCATGGATGCTGTAAAGCATTCGAAACGTCGGGAAACAAAAATCCAAATAAATCCGCGACAAAATCCGAAAAGATAGTTTTATTTAAAATGGAAAAGACTAATTAATAGAAATAATAATAAATAGAAAAAACTATTCATCAAAAATATGTATAAGGGAAAATATTTCATCATGACATTCCGAATGAAATACAGAAAAAGAACCAGTTTCTTTTATTAAAACATACTATTGTAATTTGTATTTTTGTGCCTCAGACTAAATATCGTTTACATTCCTTAAAAAATAAAGAAATTTTTATATAGTGTATTATTATATTAATATATATATATATATATATATATATATATATATATATTATATATACATATTTAATGATTTTCCGAGTAAAACTACTGAGCTTCAGCAACACATGATAGCCCTACAAAATGACTATCACAATTATTTAAACTCTATGTCCCCATCGCTGGGTGTAATGTGGCGTCATCTATCTTATACAGATTACATGTGATGGTGGATGACAATACTTTTAAAATATATATATCCATACTAATATTATAAATGTGAACTTTTTACAGCAGGAGATTATCGAATTCCCACGGGATAACACGTTATAATACAATCCAAAATAATATTTATGATCAGAATTACTTGAAACTTGGTATCATTGTTCTTCAATAAAATTAAATAAATACATATTTCAGCATTTTTCTAAATTCATCCTATACCTCTTATAGGATGAATTTAGAAAAATGCTAGATAAAATAGGGGATGAAAGTTTATTTATTTTGTAGTTTTAGCGCGAGCGAAGCCACGAGTTCTACTAGTTTAAAATATAACAAACTCATATCTGTATTAATATTATAAATATTTAAATAATAACATATAAATAATTAATATTACAAAATATAAAATTAATATAAATAACAAAATATGAAGAATCAATATGATCTATAAATAATGAATAATAATCAATTAAGATACTATAATTAACAACAAGCAATTGAGCAACTATAACTAACACTAGGTATTGGTCGTTAGTTCACAATTTTTGAGAATAAAATTAATGAAAAAGAAAAAAAAAAGTATATAATTTTGTATTTTTCAAGCATTCGTTCTCTTCCTTTGAAAGAGAGATAGCATAATATTATCTCATATATTTATTTTTTCTTTATCATAAAAAAAAACTTTATTTACTTATCACTCAGTGTACAAATTTTCTTTTGTAGATTTTTTTAAAACATTATTGTGTGGCTTCATACTTAGTTCTATGACACTCTGCCTATATTCTTTAGTTTGTTGGTCAGTCAATCAAAGTAAAACGGCTACAACAGAACTATGTCAATTTTTTAATGTCGGAAAATGCTTTTACGCATACCACCTGCATACACGCTTACGACACGTTTCGCTAAGTTTGTAGTACTTGCTGTGCCAGCGGTCGCGGGTTCGAGTCCCGCTGGGGCATTCATTTGTATGATGAACACGAATGTTTGTACTCCAGTCATGAGTATTTATATTTATAGTATACTTAATTGAAATGAATGGATGAATGTAATGAATTTTTCATACTCTTTCTTTATTCCACAATTCTATAATCATATTCATTGTATCACTCTATATGTAATATATAAAATTCAACTGCCTCGGTGGTGTAGTGGCTAGCATGTACGGCTGCACACTCGGAGGTCCTGGGTTCGAGTCCCGGGTCGGGCCAAGTTTAGTTATTGAGTCTTTCTCTATAGTAAGTCTCAGTAACAGCCCGGAGTTGGGAAGTTGGTGGTGTTTCACCCCCGTGCCTCGGAAAGCACGTAAAGCCGTCGGTCCTGCGCCTTAACTCTCACCGGTCGTGTCGAGCAGTCGTCCCACCGGAGTATGAGAGTGACAGGAATAGAGAGTGCACGTTGTGTCTGCGCTCTCCCTCACACGCGCTGCACTATGTTATCTCCTGCGCAGTTGGCTAGTCTCAATGAGATTGGCCGCCGTAGCCGGAATCGGCTAGGAGAACATCATACAAGATTCATAATTTAATCTATAATCTATATAATTTTTAATTAATTGTTCTATTTTATTTGTCACAAAATGTATGAACTGTGTGTTATTGTATATATTTTTATTGTCCTATAACATGTTAATGTTGTACTAATATAATAGCATGTTGTAATTACCTGTAATTAAAAGTACAATCATCATGTTTTTATAGTAATGAAAAAAAAAAAGATATATAATTTATTGTAACTTTTGTTTGTAATTCTAATAAATTAATAAAATAAATAAATAGTGTGTATGTATTTAAAATTATATATGTGTAGTGTATCAACTGTCCGGTATCCATAACACAAGCCTCGTAGCTTACCATGGAACTAGATGGTGCTGTGTGCTAATGTCCCAACATATTTATTTATATATACAGATGGCTATATGAAAGTTCACCGACCACAAAACCTATACTTCCCCTTAAAAACCATAATAAGTTAATGCGATATTATATATATGAGTGATACAAAAAAAATTTTGCGAGTTTTGCCAGATACTATTTTTAAGCAATGTAAATACTAATATCTATATTACTCTTGAAAGGAAGTATGACTATCTTAGTAAGGTCTTTGATACCATTATCTATATATACGAGTATAATAAAATTCTGAGTTGAATCTGCACATTCAATTTTTTTTAGAAAATCTTATTGTAATAGTCATTATTATCGATACAGAGGCTGAATCTATAGATTTTAGAATTTTAGTCTGTCTGTCTGTTACCGCATCACAGCAAAACCACTGGAGAGATTTTGATGAAATTCGGTATGGTGATAGCTGGTTATCCGGGTCAACATATAAGATACTTTTTACTCTGGGAAAAAATCTCATTTCTGAGAAAAAATACAAAAACTGCAATGTAAGAGTATACTAATATGTAAAACCTAAGAATTTGGTTTTTGGTCATCTGAACGCGTGCGGAGCCGCGGGCAATGCTAGTGTCTACATATATACATAGGATTAACTAGAACTTATTTATATTATGAAAAGAAGGAAGTATGGGATAGTGATCGAAGTACAACAGACGTCGTATTATATGGCCCACTGCCTGAAACGGTTTGCCGATTTAAATGGAATTTTGCATGGTGGTACCTTATATCCCCGGGCAACATCTTAGATATTTCATCCCAGAAAATTAAAGAGTTCCAGTGGGATAGTTAAAAAACTATAGTATCTTATATAGCTTATATAGCTTAATACACAACAACTTATGCACCTAATTCAGTAAGATTTAACATTCTGATACCTTATATTGCCGGTCACATAACAGGTTCCTTTTCATCTCGGAAAAATGAACGGTTCCCGTGGGAACTAATAGTTCTCTATTAGTATTTTTCCAGAGGCGAACCCGAGCGAAGCGAGGGTGAGCCGCTACTATAAAATATGTTAGAAAAAGACGTAATAAACTAATCTACTAATATTATAAAGAGACAGACTTTGTCCGTTTGTTGGAACTCGCTAATCTCAGGAACTACAAATACTATTTGAAAAAATCTTTTTGCATTAGATAAGCCGTTTATTGAGGAACGCTATAGGGTATAAATCATATAGTCTACTATTCCATACTAACCGTTAAAACGTGCGTAGTAGTAAAAAATAAAATGACAGTCATGAGGAAAGAACCAGTAAAATATTTTACAACTAATTAACACCTCCAGGTAAATTTCTAAGAAATTAATTAAATTTCTAAGAAATCTATTGTTAACTGTAACGCCGGCGTGTCCGCGGTCGTGGAGGGAATAAACACAGCTATTTATACATTTAACTGTAAAATTCTTGAAAGAAAGTAAATAATCTGTATAGTAAAATCGAGAATAGTAACATAAACTACAAATCACGCTACTTTTTTTGACTTCGACATTTTCTACCGGTCTCCGTCTATATTATTCTTTAGTCTGAGTCTTTATCAGTCATTTCATATTTATTCTCTTAATTACATTTATTTATTTTTGTTGACAAAGTACTGAACAGATTAGACGCGAATCGTACGTGACATTGATGTACAAATACTCCCCACATCTTATTATCAAGGCATAAAGATCAAAATTTAACATTTAGTTTGGTTTATTGTTCGTATGTTAATTACAATATGTATTTAGATACTAGCCATTGTTCCTTACTTTCTCTGGCAATTTTTTTTTTCATTCTAACACCACAATATACATCCGTTTTTAACGTCCCACAGCTGGGAACGGGTCTCCCTTCAATATGACATGACTCTAAGACATATAAATCTGAAAGTATGCCAGAGTGTCAGTTATTTCTTCATAATTTAAGGGCTAAATGGTTTTGAGTGAAATTCAAATGAAAGGAGATAGTTTATTTATGGGAATAACATTTTTTGAGGTACCTGTTATACAAGGTACCTGTTTACGTGGTAAATAGTATTACAATACGCTCATATAATTGTGGGCTTATATTTCTAAAGTTAAACTAGATGCGTTAGTAACAAAAATTTATGAGATAAAAAGTTCAATAAACTAATTAACACACAAATTTTACTAAATTATACTGTAATATCTACTACTGTAGATGTAGTCAAGGATCTGTAAACAAACTGAAAGATAGCGATAACGAGATCGCTTAGTTGTTTTGTCTAAACGTGCAATTTTTCGTTTTCACATATTATTTATAATTACATGGAAGTATCTTAGAAGATGATAACATATACAAATGTACAATGGACGTTGAGTTTTTGAGAAATAAATATGAAGACAGCTATGATGGAGTGGTTACCAAATCGAGTAAGATTGCATTTTGTTGATTTATATGTGATCTGTGTCTGATAAATAAATGCTTTTAGAGATAATATTATTAGAGTTAATTTAGTAATTACTTAATAGCGAATCAAAAGAAGACCTTTTAAAGTTCGACTTTAGTCATAATCAGGGGATAAAGTCAGTACATGTTATTGAGCTACTGTTTCTTTACACGTTTACATAGGAAAAATAGAAATTCTTGTATATAAATTTATTTCGTGAATCTGGGAACAGATGTAATAATTTGGACCAAATTTTGTATTTATATAAGAATTTAAGTTTATATATACTCGAAGATGTCTTTTCTAAAATAAAATGCAATTTTTATGCCGTTCAAGTACCAAGACTTTATTTGAATAAGAAGTTATTTATTGTTTTACAGAATTCAAAATCGGCATCCGACATCTACAGATGGTTTATATGTTCCTATGTACCCTTATCATGGGTATGATGAGGAGCAGTAATGTTATCGCCGTTCTAGCAATTTCTGACTTTACTAGAAATAATGAAACATATATACAGGTAAAAAGCAATTTCTATTCAAAACTGTTTATATATACTTAATGAAAAAATATCGGCCTTCTCCTTTTAGAAAATTGGTTAAAACATGCCTAAATCGAGCAGCTTTGCTTACAACCTTAATAATAATACAAATTCGAATATTATTTATTCCTCCATTAAATTTAAATTATATAGTGTATACAAGTCGTACGCAGCGGATAATGTCAGAAACATGTGCAAGTACCACTCAAAACTGTAGAAACTTTCTATTGAATCAGATGAATGATATAATAACACACAATACAAGAATAATGATTATATTTTATATCAAGATGTTTTCTTGTTATAGCAACATTTTGTGGATTAAATCAAAATATCTTTACGTAATATATTTAATATGATAACATGAAGACTTATTTAGTTCGTTAGAATCGTTTAAAGGCACGTTTGAAAACTACCAGCCCGATTGCAAAATCGTCGTTTAATTTGATTGATTAACAAGTAACATCATCTTTAGAAGCGATAAAATTGCTCAAAAATTGTTATTACATATTAATAACTACACCGGTGGAGCTGCGGGCTAGTTAATATTATAAAATTAGAAATTATCATCATAATATTGCTACAAACTGCAGGCATAATTAGAAAGCCCTTAGACAAACGCTTCAATAAATAATTTTGATTGCCAAAGTGTGGTTTAAAGCGTGGTTTCCATGCACGTTGGTTAGCAATACGCGTAATTACGTATGGAGATGTTGATCTGAATTTCAACTAGTTCTGTAGAATTATGGCTTTTATTTCAATCTGTTTGACATGAACATTAAATATTATGTTTTGTTTCTCCACAATATTAAATGAATTTATTTTTAAAATATTAAGTTTTTATTTTATATTTTCAGATACACAACTGGGATAGTAGAATTCAAGGAACAATATTTTCATCTTTCTTTTTTGGATACGCTTTGATTTATTTGCCGGCTGAAATCTATTTAAAGCAAGTCGGAGATAAGTTTGTTCTTACTTCTGTCCTTTTGATCAATGGAGGACTATCAGCAGCGATGCCGACAGTCGTCAATAAGGTATGTTTATTTATTTAATTATTTATTTAAGGTAATATTGTATTTCTTTGAACAGTACAAAATTAAGCATTTGCTGCTAATGATAGATTTAATAAGTATTTTCTCATAACGTGTCCATTTTTAAGGTTCCATTGTCTGAAGGGAATAATAGAATTCTTATAATTTTTCTATGTCCGTCTATCCATCTTTTAGTTTGTCCGTATGTCACAATTATTTTACTTAGAGATTATTACAGTCTCGAGTTAGGCGAAGTATAGTTGTTGACTACCGGTAATCTAATAGCTATCATGGTACATGTACGGCTACCGATCTAGAGGTCCTGGGTTCGAGTCTCGGGTCGGCTCAAGTTTAATTACCGAGTTTCTCTGCTAAAATATTCTATATTCAGGTTTTTTGTAATATTATATTATACATATAACCTTTAAATCTTTTAAGGGTGGTTGGATAGCTGTGTGTAATGCAGAATTTCTGATGGGGATGACACAAGCTTGTCTACTTCCAATCAATGAACAACTGATATGTAACTGGCTGCCGCCGAGCGAGAGAAGAATATTTGGTCCAATAATTCAAGGAGGTACTGTAGTAATACTATAGAAGCTTAATTTTGTGGATGGCTAAGTGACTTCTTCACGCAGTCACTTAGCCATCCAAAAATTTAATATATTTATTAAGTAACATCTCAATAATAAGAGTAAAGTTCAGTTGATATTGGCTGTTTTGTCGAGGCATCTTCCACACTAGCATTGCCGCAGACAAAAAGTTGTATTATAATGAATAATGTTTTTTTTTTCTAACAAGCTTTATACATATTTACCATGTCAAACATTAATCTGAAGTACTTTGTGTGTTGTTTAATACGACTGATTTATTTTAACCTCCAAATCTTGCTTTCTTTTGCAGCAATTCTCCTCGGGACTGTTATTGCGTTTCCAATATCTGGTTATCTCTTTCAAACTCGATTAGGCTGGGAATTGATATTCTATTCCCAAGCCATGATGACACTATCAATGGCAGCTATATGGGCTTTACTGACTGCTGGTAGTCCAGGCAGTCACCAGGCTATTGGGAATGAAGAGAAGGATTTTATTAGACAAGCTCTATCAACATATAGAAAGGTAGTAAATATTAAAAAAAAACGTGACATAAGTAGTAGACTGATATTTCCACTATCTACACGTACACATAAAATTAAATGTGATTGCTTTGTGATTTCAAAATTGTTATGCCAACTTGATGTGTCCATGTAGATATTTACGTAAAAACATAAGTCCAAAACATTTGAGCTAGTATTCGGACGTAACTAAATCAATTTAAATTTGACTATCACAAGTTTGATAGAGTGTTTAGGCAAGATAAGCATAAACTACTTTTTCCTATTGCCTATCCCGGAATGTTAAAATAATTCCAATTAATGATTGGGGTTAAGGATAGAATAATTTAGTCGATTTTAACAGGAATTTCATTTATGGGTAGACGATTTATTCGAAATTAAAAGAGGATTCCAAAAACCTACAAGGTTCACGTGGGAATTAAAGTAGAAGTTTTTGAAGAGTATATAAAGAATCGGTGAAACGTCGGTGAGGCTAAAGAATTTAAAGTAAATCCAGTAAATAATGTATAGCATGTTAATAACTGGCTATTTACATTCGAAGGCATTATTTTATTATCCATTCAACTATCTAAACAAGATAAAATTTACAAAGGAAAAATTCTATCAAGAAAATAATGAAAAACAAGTTTCGGCAAATGCCCAAAAGAGTATCGTAGAATACGAGTTAAGAATGATGTTACAATGGTATAATAAATGAATGAATGTAAATATAATATTTGCTAATAGTAGTATAATGATATTATTATTATTTTCGTTCACAGAAAAAGCAGATTAATCCATGGCGACAAATACTTAGAACCAAAACATTTTGGGCACTAGCTTTAAGTCATTCGGCGGCTAGTGCTATTTTTATTTTCTTCGTAGTCGAAGTTCCAGCTTTTTTATTGATTTTGAACTCGTCTCTTAGAACTGTAAGTATATTTTCAATGTACGAATAAAAAAATAAATAGGCTAAGATTAGTATGCATGACTAGAAATTATAAGGTTTCGAAACAAGAGTGCCTAATCGGTCTCTCGGCAAGTTAGCAAGAAATCACACTTCCGTTCTCAAAGAGAAAATATATCTGATAACTCTCTAGAACTAAGGCATTATCACCACACCAATATAGGAAAGGAGTAAAGAGTGTACGAATGTTTGCAAACTATGTAATATCGATTGCGCTGTTTGTTATCCTAATGATGGGTATTCTAGTGTCAGAGACCGAAAATATATATTTTCACTGTTAATACTATTTTAGTTTTGCATGTCATGCAATGTGTGATACTGTATTTCAAGTAAAGGCCTAATATATCACCTCATAGCAAACAAAAAGTTCATAGAAAGCATGAAAGTTATGCTTTGAAAAAAATATCTTAAAACACGTGTACTATTTTCCAGAGCAGTTCACTAGCATCGCTACCTTTAATATGTATGTGGAGTATCCACGTATTGAGTGCACAAACTTTAGACTTTATCTTCAATATCGGCCTCGCCGGATTTTTATTTCACGTGAAACACTTCAGAAAAATCGTCAACAGTATAGGTAAAACATTTTTTAATGTACTAGCATTATATAATTGAACATATGGATGTCTGTTTGTATGCTTTCCTATATCATTAAGCAAAATTAGGTGAGTTATTACGGATGAACAAAAATATCATCGCAAATCATATTGGATAATTTGATTGATCAGTCTTGAAACTTTATAAACATAATAATCTCAAACATTTTATACTTTTTTTAAAGTTGAAAAACTCATTTTCACATACAACCTATTGGCAAAGGTTTCATGCCTACGCTACGACCATGCTAATTGGTATCATTTATCAGTTTATAGAAATTTATTTAAATTGAAAAACAATGGCTATTACGTTACCAATGTACAAGTATTGAATCTGCAAACTCGTAGAAGAGAAATTCCAAAGACGATCAAACAATATCATGCGATTAATCAATTTGACTGTTTGCAGCAACTTTTGGGATTGTTATAGGATTAATGACACTGCCCAATTTGATTGCCAGCTGGAATCAATTAGGGTTATTCGTATTGATGGGAACACTAGGATTACTTGGACTACAGTTTTCGGGGTTTCTGGTAAGTTTAGAAATCTAGGGCTTAAGTTTTATTACATTTGACGACATGCTTGGCTAATTTTGTTGAAGCATAATTATTTAATAGGTTTGAAAAGAAAAATATTCTTTTTTATGGTTGTTATATTTTCATAAATATCTTCATTTAACAAAGATTCAATAGTAAATTTAAATAATAAATTTGTAGAAATAGAAGGTGCATGTTTAAAGTAATGATGTTCGTGTCTTCAAGCAAATATATTTTTCAATTAATGGCACTTGAAGATTTAAATATAATTTTCTAAACTATATGTCTTATTTCAGGAAAATCACAGAGATATGACACAGAATTTCTCAGGAACTTTGCTAACGATGACTAGTGCCGTATCAAATGTTATAGCCGCTTTGATACCTTTGATATCTGGTTTCATCATTAGTGACAATATGGTAAGTAAACATCAGGACTATAACATAATTGTTATATTTTGACATAAACTTAGAAAAGGAAGTTTTATAGGTAGGATAGGACCATAAAACAAGAAGGCGTAAGCTATAGATTAAATAAAAATTTTGACATGTCGATTTATCTGTAAAGAATAAAAATAGAAATATGTGAAAAGTACATCAAAAACAAAATAGACACTAATCTTAAGTAGATTTAGTCTAAAAGTCATCAGTCTCAGTAGCAAAAAATGCAAAGCTAAGCCGCTGGGTTATAGAAATTTTCTTACATTTAATTTTAATTTAAGTATTTTATTACTTTGTAATAAATAAAATTACGGAATTGATGTATTATTATAACGTATGGCTCGGAATTCCATCGGACTCACTTTTTACATAGGTATTAATAATTCAAAAACATGCAATAGATCAAAATTTAACCATTTTTATAGTACTTAATTATCAAAACTGAAATAATATAATTGTTAACTATTGAAAAATATTATTTTTAAAATTTTTAAAAATAATAATTGAATTTAAACAAACAACTTTCCTAACGCTCGAGCGTAACTATTCTCTATACGTCGTTCAGAAAATTTTGGTTAATATATACAGGCACCATATTTTTTTACCATTGCATTCTTTATCCTATAAGCATTTATGGGATAAAATTTATTTAATCGATAACAATTTTTCTACGTACATTATATTATTATAGTAATTAGCGAATTAAAAATATAGATATTTTGACAGTATAACTAGACTTTTAATGCATAAATGATGGTATTATATAGAACTAGCATTGCCAGCGGCTCCGCCCGCGTTCAGATAATCAAAAACCAAATTCTTAGGTTTTACATATTAGTGCCTATATTCTTACATTGCAGTTTTTGTATTTTTTCTCAGAAATGAGATAATTTCGCGCAGTAAAAAGTATTCTATATGTTGACCCAGATAACCAGGTACCACCATACTAAATATCATCAAAATCCCTCCAGTGGTTTTTCCGTGATGCGGTAACAGACAGACAGACAGACAAAAATTCTAAAAACTATTGATTCGGCCTCTGTATCGAAAATAATGTCTATATTAGTAAGATTTTCCAAAAAATATTTAATGTACAGATTCGGCTTAGTTACAATTTTATTATATGTATAGATTAATTTGAAATTTTATTATATAATGCTTCATAACAAGTTTGATACTTAATTAATATTTAGGTGAAATTTATCAGGACAAAGATGCTGGTAACTTCATTATGTATTAATTAATGAATCTCGAAAATGATAATTTTAATGAGAAATTTTCGGCCTTGAGTTGGATAGTCCACTTACAAGTACTTACTTAAAAAACTTACGTACAAAAAAGTTCTGCGTGAGTGCTGCGTGCGTGCGTATGTCTGTGCGTGCGAGCATGTATGCGTACGTGCATGCGTGCTTACGAATATGCTCTGAAATTGGATCGCGTGCTCCTTCTTCACCATGAAATTTTATACATTACATAAAAATACATGAGTCATGAAGAAAAAAGGCTTGCGCTTGACTACAATCAGCGCTGGGAAGCACTGATGAGGTCTAGGTTAAAGCGCGCTTGCCTAGAATAATGCCTGTTCACTCTAGCCTTGAAGGTACTTGGATTGTAGGTGGCAGGAAACACGGATGCTGGAAGGGTGTTCCACTCCTTAGCAGTTCGATTCAGAAACGTAGAACTGAATCGTTTCGTGCGAGTTGGTTGGATTTCTGGAACATAAGGATGCCAGCGCTCACGACTTCTCGCAGTTCTGTGGTAAAACGGTGAAGGGGGCACAAGGTTGTGAAGTTCCTGCGCGCACTCCCCAAAGTATGTCCGATAGAAGATCGATAGACAGGCGACAATCTTATATCATTAGTAATTCCATCTTCTCTACAAACATTAACTAAGCGCAGAATCGAAGCCATTGCTATTTGTATTATACGATACTGAACCAAATGAAAAACAATATTTATTTTGCGCAATATTTATAAAGGTACTTTGCCCTAAGGTAAAAAGAAATTAAGTTTATCTAACTCAGATATTTCATTATAGAAAGTTTCCAACGGTTGAGTGGTTCCAAGAAGCTGGTATTGTCCACTGCTTAAACTTAATATCAAAATTTGGTATCCAAAATCTTAACTTTGATTAAAATCGTGATTAAAAATGTTTAATTACCCAAATTCCAAGTGTAAATTTACAATTTTTAAAATTATGGGAATGTTTTTATCGACATTATAATAATTGAGTGGAAAATAAGTTGTTTCATTTTTTTCTTTTATATGAAAATGCTTAACTTATTTCATGTTTACACTTATACTTTACTAGCGACTTACCCTCGCTCTGCTCAAATTCGTCCCTAGATATATTTTAACAGTTAGTATAGATTTATGAGAGATGATGAAAAGTATCCCATATGTTGACACGGATAGCTAGCTATCAATCATCATACCAAATTTTCAAAATACTGTCCAGTGGTTTTGTCGCGGTGCGTTTCCACACAGTCAAATAGACAGACAGACAAAAAATCTAAAAACTAAAGATTCGGGCTCTGTAATAATGACTATTTCAATAAGATTTTCCAAAAAATATTTTATGTACAGATTCGACTCAGATTAATTATTCACCACTCTATTCATCACTTTAGATCTGTTTTATAATAATGAAAGTGATATTTTGTATTAACTAATTAATTATATTAAGACATACTCGTAGGTATAATTATATATTTATTTATTGATAGGTATCCAAATAATTACTCCTATGATGTTTTTTACCGGACTATGTTCAATTAAATGAAATGAAATCAAAACACAATTTCTTCAAATAGACTTTTAGACTTTTGAATTGTCAATTTTACATTTTTTAAATGCAAATTAAAGGTCCGTGAGGAATCTAACTTTAGCTCAGAAGGCAGTTCTGCTGAGAAGAGTTGGCAATAAATCTTAATGATATCACAATACAAAATATAAATTCAAGGAAAGAAAGATTTTCGATAAATATTTTGAATATTTATGAGACGGAGAGTGTCACTATTCTTTCTGGCAGACTTAATGTCAGTCACGGTAGATACCAAGAATTTCTTAATAAATACAATACTTGGCTGGATCTGGGACTCGAATTTGGGATCCGTGGATCTACAGCCGTACATGCTAACCGCTTTTTTTAACGTTGAGAAATGTATTTAGGCATACCACCTGCATACATACAGGTAGTTATGTGGGACTCGTCGGCTAGTAAAGCCAGTACTACCCAATAAAAACTAACGAAACTTCTCCCGTTTTAAAAGCGCGTAGCAGGGTCGCTTACGCACTCAACCCCAATGCCCCTATTGCAGGTCTGGAAGCAGACCACGACGACCATGGAATTGCTCCAAAAGTCTACTCTACTATCAGACAAGTACAAGGACCAACCCACATGGCATACCGCCCACCGAGGTGGGCCTCCTCGCAGTGTGCTTCTTGACTTGGCGCTCGCTGGATTGCTGGACGCTCATGAGCACCAACCCCCCCCCTCTACCCCCTTCCCCCTATACAAGGTGTATACACATTGGGGAGAACATGCTAACTTTTAGACCAACAAGTCAGCTAAAGAGCAAACGATTACTCATATCGTCGTCGTTTCAACGTCACATGATTATTAAAATAAGCATAAATACATAAATGTAATTTTTTTTTTTTTTTTTTTTTTTCTTTATTTGAAGGACTTGTTCACATAACAAAAAGCGAACATGTCGTCCTTGTAAATTTTACACATGGACAAATAACGAGTAAATACTTAATTATAAATAAAATTATGCGCAGAGTAAAGAATACATAATATAGAAAAGATTCTACTAGTTTAGCGGACATAGCAATATTATACTAATTTAATATTATTACAGATACAAATAACAATAATTATGTACCGTCTTGACTAGATCTAACACGTAAGCCAACCTTGGTTAATTTATACAAAGCTTTGGCATGATCTGAACAAGGATTTGCTAACATTATGTTACAGCTACCAATTTGTTTTAATTCGTGATAATTGTTAACAAACATATTTCTCCTCATGCGTTCGTTCCGAGTACATTCCACTAAAATATGATACACATCTTCGGTTTTCCCACATTTAGTGCAATTCGGTGATACGGCTTTATTCATCTTAAACGCGAAATAATTCAGTGGAATATGCCCGGAACGCACTCTTAACCCTGTCACAATAGAATTTCTGTCTAATCTACAAGACTCAAACCAAGGCAAAGAATACGGGTCAGATCTCAAGATCCTATACCAAATCCCTTTATTTACCGATGTATTTTGAAAGTGTGCGGTCCACAACTTATATACATATTTTTTAAGCAATACTACGATGTCATTAATAGAAGGTAACACGCTGAGTGGTATACCTTTTGATACTGCGTCATTCGCTAATCTATCCGCACGTTCATTACCTGCCAATCCTATATGAGACGGAATCCATTGAAATGTTACCCTCTTATTTGATGCTTCCAGCTTACATATAGCCTTCAATATCTTATATGCTATCGGAGCTCCTCGAAAAGTCGAGGTGCACCGAGCAATATGTTGGAGCGCGCTTTTGGAGTCCGTAAAGATAACAAAATTTTTGAAATTACTAATACTGCTGATATACTCCAAAGCCTCATACAAGGCAAACAACTCAACATACATAATAGAAATTATTGATTCAATTTTAAATTCGATATCAGTATGAGATTGAGGGTCGTAAATAGCAGCTCCGATACCTTTTTTGCATTTAGAACCATCTGTGTATATTTTATAAAAAATTCTATATTCAATATTAATCATTTCCAGACTATTGCTTTTTAAAACCGTAGCATCTACTAACCGTTTTGACTGTCCAATGTTATCTATAGAGCAAAATATCTTATTATCTAAATTAATATTTTGTACCCATGTGTCAAGACAAAACATTTCCAATTTTCTAGAAGATCGAAAAGGGTAACATTTCAATATGCCATGGACTGACGCTAAGACTGGTTTCTTTTTATTCGCCCAATAATTCGAATTATTGCATTGTACCGACAGCTGACCGATTACATCAATATTTCCATTATCTTGTAAAGCACGACTCTTCAACCAATACTTTCCTCCTAGGTAAATTCTACGAATGTGAAGTGGTTGAAGGGCTAGCTCACTTTCCATTACGTGTATTGGGGTACTCTTGATGAACCCCCCAATCACACGCATACACTGATTTTGAACCTTATCAAGTTTATAAAGATGGGATTTAACACTTGTATCATATATAAAGCTTGCATAGTCCATTCTACTACGTATAACCGAAATATATAATCTCCTTAAATGTTTAGGATGTAAGCCCCAGTCAGTGCCAGCTAATATTTTAAGAATATTCAAATATTTTTGAGTCCTGTCAGTAATTTCGTTTATATGCTTCCCCCATTTTAAAGACCTATCTAACCAAACCCCTAAATACTTAACACTTTCTACTAATTGAATTCGAGTTCCTTTTAAGTTGATGTTTACTTCCTGTCTATTAATCCCTTTCCGAAACAAACATATTTTAGTTTTTCTTTCAGATATCTCTAAGCCAAGACCTTCAACCAGTTCACACAATTTATTAAGAGCTAACTGCAACTGTACACATCCCTCTCCTATATACTTATATGATCCGTATAATACGAAATCATCAGCGTATTGAGAAATATGTGTGTTAACAATATCATGGCAAATATCCCTAGTAAGTACATTGAATAAGATTGGAGATAAAGGGTCTCCTTGTGCAAGTCCACGATTTGTTGATCTGGTAAGGCTACCGGAAACTGAGTAATTTATACTTAATTTTCTAGCACTCAAAAACTCCCATAAGTAATAACAGAACTTAGACCCTATCCCAAGCCTATCCAACGCATTTAGTAACACTATTATATCAACATTGTTATAGGCGCTGTCAATATCCACAAAACAGCCTAAGGTTATTAAATTATTAGCAAACCCCAATTGAATTTGAGACACTAATCTAGTAAGACTATCTAGACATGAACGACCTCTTCTAAAACCTACAGTATTTTTCGAAAAGCTATCATTATATTCTAAGTACCATTCCAATCGATTTTTTAAGATAGTGTGAAAAATTTTACAGGGACACGATAAGAGAGCTATAGGTCTTACTTCAGGAATAGATTGTGTAGAGGAGCTTGCTTTTGGTATGGGAACAATTTTAGCTTGTCTCCATTGAAATGGTACAAATCCCGATACAAGAAACATGTTATAAATCTTGACTAATATATGCTTTCCATTCACCGGGAGGTGTTTCAACATAGAAAAGGATACAGAATCGTCACCTGGGGCCGTATCTTTGGCTTTAATAGCACGATTAAACTCTTGAATTGTAATGGAACTCTCCAAGGTTGTATTAACAGAAGTAAATTTTGGTTTTCTTGAAGAAGTATAATCAGGCGTCAGGCTGCGTAATAATCTATTGGCTGTATCCTCATCGATGTATGTCTTTGGTAATCGATATCCCTTAATCCATCTCATTCGGCGCAGCATCTCAACGGTTGAAATGGTTTCATTAATAGTGTTGCAAAACTGTCTCCAAGCTTTACGTTTGGCTCTGCGTATAATCCTCTGTGCAAAAGCGACTTTTATTTGAAGTAAATCCAAATTATTTGGCGTAGGGTTCTTTCTAAAAGTAACCAACGCAAGTCTTCTTTCTGCAACTGCCCTTGATATGTCTGAATTCCAGTACGGTTTCGGTACAAATTTCTGTAGACGTAAAGGATCTGTACACATTCTTACCGTGGGGATATATCTATCTGCCGCCGAATTAACTGCATTAATAAATTGGTTATAAGCTTCCTGAGGATCACTTGCCAAGACCAAAACAGAGAATATTGCATGTAGGGTGCGCCTATATTCCTCCCACTTTGCTTTTTTGAAGTTCCTTTTTTTATTATCAGCGTCAGTCGCACAGCAATTAGCGGTTGTAAATTTAATAATAAGGTGGTCACTTCCTAAAGATTCATTAAGAACCTTCCAAATGAAATCCAACGCAATGTCATTAGTTACGAAGGTAACATCCGGGGAAGATTTTTGAACATTACCATTGACTAACTTAAGCCGAGTTGTAGAGCCATCATTCAGGTTAACATAATCTTTGTCAACAATCGTATCAAACAGCTGCGTTCCTCTTACATCTGTTTTTGTACGACCAGTTAGAGTGGTGACCATTAAAATCCCCAGCAATAATAGTTTTATTATTATGTAAACTAAACACTGAGTCCCAATCATTAGCTACTGTGTGCACAGATGATGGGCAGTATACAGAAATAATGAACTCTAAATTAGAACAGTTCAATAGTTTAATTTCAACGAGTTGAATCCCTGGATTTGCACACTGTATCTGACGTGCCTGAAACATTATTGAGTTATGAATAACAATGGCCACCCCACCGTATCCATCGCCGCGATCCTGACGAACAATATGATAGCCACTTATCCTTATGCTCTTGTTTGGATCAAGCCATGTCTCGCTCAAAATAGCAATATGAATTTTTTCCTGTGATAAAAACTGTTCAAACTCCACTATCTTCGGATGAATACTTTGACAATTCCATTGTATGATGTTAACTTGTGTGGCCATGTTTAAATAAGTTTTTAAAAACGGACATCTCAGACACCCACTCCGTGACAAAATATAACAACCAATCATAAACAACTTCTCCACACAATTTTACTTTCTTCCCAAAGTTAATGTTTTTCATGAAAATTATCTCCTGGATCCTCAAAAGTAAACCTTGAACATCAGTTTTCTCACATTCTTCCTTGTTTTCGTTCCCCTGTACTTCTTCTTCTTTAAAATCTGACTGTATTCTACTCTCATCTTCCACTGAAACATCTTTTCGCTTATCACACTTTTTCTTGGACTTCTTAGCAATTCTATCGCTTGTCGTACTACTCTTGTTATTACTTTGTTCTTTAGGCAAACTCGATGCATTTCCTACCACCTCAGCATATGACGGTCCATCACCTGTCGTCATTGGAATGACGTCACATAAGCCTTCATTGGGTGCACTCACATTATCCGTCTCGAATTGAGGAGAAGGAGGGACATATAGAGTAAAAGCCATTTTATATGTGCAGTTAAATTCGGCCATCAGTTCTCGGATTCTCCTTTCCTTCTTATAAACCGGGCAAACCTTCGCCAGTGCCATATGATTGCCCTTGCAGTTGACGCACTTAAAAGATGTCGTCTCACAATTGTTATGCATTTGACCACATTTAGGGCAAATAGTTTTCGTTCGAGAGCATTCCTTGTGGTTGTGACCAAATTTCCAGCATTTTGAGCACTGAGACACGGGAAATATAAATGGATTCACCTTTATTCTAGTGCCATATGTGAATATATAAGCAGGTAGGGAGGAGCCCTTAAAGCAAACCCGTACACATTCGCTGTCTTCAAAAGTACCACTATCAAAATTACGCCTTTTCAATCTTTTTACATTTAAAATTGGTATACTGCAACTTAAATCCCGTAAAATTTCATTCTCCTCCAGATCTAGATCGATATCCCTAATAACGCCATATGAGACGCCGACTTCGAAAGTTTTTTGGCACTTATATTCCTTATCAATAAAATATTTGTTATTAATTAAATCATCTGCACTCTCAAAATTGTTGAATTTTATCAAAAACTTTGTAGGCGTTTACATATTTTATTCTCGTTATATTTTTAATGTTTTCGTTCTTAAGTAGACGGGCCAACCCTATTTGCTTAGGTAATTTTTCTTTTCTAGACACCATGCTTATTTCAATTTGTTCTTCTGGGATGGGGGTAGTATCATTATTATTGTTACTCCGCGCCATAACTTTTCCTCGTCTCCCAACCTCCGCCCATACCTCTTCTGTATCTATGTCACGACTTCTTTTATCCGCTCGATTACTACAGCTACCCGCTTCCAATTCCGTTAAATTTTCTATGTTAGTCTCCACATTCTCCTCGAACACACTACACATATCACTATTTTGAGATTCAGCCATAATCTATAGCTAAACAACGCATTGCAATTACTTATACAAATAAATAAGTTCGAACGTACTTATTATACAAAAACTGGTTACACAAACGACCTGCCACAGCAAGCGCGCGTGAGCCAAATGACATAAATGTAATTAAAGTCTTTTATTTTAAATTTTCCAGATGGAAATAAAACGGTGGAGAATAATCTTTGTCACACTAGCCGGTTTCTACGTTGTTTGTAACATTGCATATAATGTTTTTGGAAGCAGCGACCGTCAGGATTGGGACAGGTGTGATAAGAAGATATTTGGATACATTAATGGTAAGAATCATGCCATGATAGTTCTATAACTATTTAATATTTCTTTACTATTCTATTTATCTATAATATATCTATTTAGATATATAAATATATAAAACTAATTTATTTCTTTCAAAAAGTAGAGAAAATGAGCTAAGTTATAAGAGTACGTCTTCATATTTTAGCATTTGAGTTGTAATTTAATAACATTTAACTTGAGGAAACTTGGTAAAATTATTTGGCTTTTTTGTAGAATTGGAATATAAGTATGAGTGCCTTCAACATTTTCCACCACTCATATCATGTTATTAGCTAATATGATATTATATATTACAATATTTTAATTTCACAGATGTATCAGGCTTGGAAATGGAAGAACTGAATCAAACTAAAACGATAAAAAAAGTAGTAGAGGAGGACACTGTGGTATAATTTAGTGTTATATATTTATTTTGTAATATAGTTTTCATTAAATTAAACATTTTGAAAGCATAACGACTTTTTTAACTTTGCTATGAGATAATTTCAATTATCTACTCCTGACCGATTTTGATCAAAGTCTGGCGTGACAGGAAAAGGTCGGACCCAACTGGCGAGTTGAAACTTATCAACTCCTATCTGATATGAAGCTATAATATAATTTTTAACCAAAAATTAACCATTTGTCCCGACTTGTGACGAAAGAAGCTATTCCAATTTATTACTTTATTTTAAATTGAAATTATGGAAGCACTTATTTGGAGGTGTTCTGTTCATAAAAAAATTAAAATATTACATCAAAATGAAATAAAAAACATTCATTGCGTAAGGCAATTGCTTATATTGGCTACATCTGCTTTTCTTATATGTCAGAAATAACTACCAAATATGATTTATTGAATAGGTTACCTTGCCGCCTAAAACTCTTAGAAATAAATTTATCCTTATAGGTAAAGTGATTTTGAAGCCGACATTGCCATTTTAGTATAGTATTTATGGAGTGATCATTATCGCTTAGTCTGCAATTTTGAGATCATTTTTGAAGACAACTCGATATTGTTTATGTTCTTGTCTTTTTTCAATATTTTGTTTTTTTTTTTTGAGGAACAGAAAGAGAATGTTGTGAGTCTTCTTGTTTTCGTTATTGTTTGTCAATCAGAAAACTGAGATATAATTGAATTAATCACTTGTCCCGACTTGTACACAAACGAGGCTTATTCAGTTTAAAACAAGCAGTCACATGGCTTTGCTCGTGTTCAAACTTCCGATCGCTACACAGGCACGCTACGCAGAGCTACACAGGATCACCCGCTGGGCTGATTTGAAAATTTCATCAAAATTGCGCTGACCTTTTTGGAGTCTATAGGTACATACATACACCTAGATTCTTATATATTTAAAATTAAAATAATGGAAGCACTGATTTTAAAGTGTTTTCTTCGTAAAGTTTTAATTTTTTTGGAATTGATTGACGATTTGAATAGACATTTCTATTCCAATTGTCGGAAGTTAGTATCAACCAGCTGCACTGAATTGGAACCACTGTTTATTCAATTTTGAATTAGAAAACCGCATAGTAATTGCCTCTAAAACAGAATATTTAGTAGTCCAGCGCTTCACTACAATCTTTGGAGTCAATATTTGAGGACATCCTTAGGGATTAGATATTGTCACTATAAGCTTAAACGTCCTTGTTATTGCAAAATGATCCCTATTTATATTGTGTTATGAACTAAATACTTTAGTTGTCTTGTAATTTCGTCTTTATACCAAGATCTATAGGGTTTAAGATTACGAGTAAGATTGCCCAATCCACAGTAATCTGATTAATGTTTACAGCGAATTTATACCTTAGTATTACACAATAAAGATCAAAATAGTTTGAATAGATTAAAATAAGATGAATGGCTATAGTTGCGTCCGCGTATTATTTTATTGTATAATACATAATAATTGCTAGTATTTAAATATGTTATGGAAGCTTCAAAGCGAGTTTTGTGATTTTAAATAATGTCCTTTCACACAATTAGTGAGGTCCTAGATTCAAATTTTTGACAGATAACAAATGGATGATCTACGAAAGTTTTGATAATGTAAGCTTATCTTTATATATATAATTCTTCTGTGAGTGTGTATGTCACTGAACTTCTCTCAAACGACTGGACCGATTTTGATGAAATTTTTTGTGTGTGTTCAAGGGGACCTGAGAATGGTTTAGATTCACAATTTGAATAATAATTTTCATCAAAATGGTCCAGAATGTTTTAGCTTATTAAAAAAAGTTTGAAATTTTCAAATTAAAGACGTGTAGACAGGACAACGTCTGTCGGGTCCGCTAGTTAATAATATATAATAATATGAGTAACTACGCCGATAACGTAAGCTTAGGCTGGGCCAAAGATAGAACTACCTACTCACAGAATATACAACAAAAAGTAGTGGAAGCAAGTATTTGTTACGTATTATTCTTATTTTTCCACGTTTTTTCCTTTCATCCCTTCCAATACCCTTCACCTCATCGTATTCAATGCAAAGGGTTTCTAATATTAGAATGTTAAAAAGGATTAAATAAATATCTTACATTTTTTTTTAGTATTGTAAGCGTAAGAAATAACAGATATTGCTATCCACTATTTGTGTACTTGGCAAATAGACCTTAAAGGATTTCTCTCTATGAATTGATGCTATCGAGTGGATCTGATTGATGGAGCCTGTGGTGATAGCTACTGCAAAATATATGCATTTGATTTATTTTAAAGCGTTGCATATTTTATTTTATTTTTAGGGTTCCGAACCCGAAGGGTGCTAACGGAACCTACCTACCTAGTAATAGTACTAAGCCTCCGCTGTCCGTCCATCCGTCCGTCTATTACAGGGCTGTATCTCATGAATCATAATAGGTAGAGAGTTGGAATTTTTACAGAGTATGTAATTCTGTTGCCGCTATAACAACAAATAATAAAAATAAAAAAAATACAAGAAGCATTGTTTTAACGTTCGTAATCGATCATTGAAGTTAATATACTACATACATAGAGTAAAGTCATATTAATAACAAATACATGTACGACGATACGTAACCCTTTATGTGAGAATTCGGCTCGCACTTGACCGATTCTTTTTTACCCCCGACGCAAAAAGAGGGGTGTTAGCAATTTGACATCGATGTCTGTCTGTCTGTGTGTGTGTGTGTGTCTGTCTGTGGCATCGTAGCTCTCAAATGGATGGACCGATTTCGATGCGTCCGGATTCGATCCATGCGGTGGTTTTTAGCTATGTTTGGTTAATATTGGTCCAGTAGTGTAAGAGTATCAGCTCTTTTCGAAAATGATGTAAGGCATTTTGACGTATAATTACTCGATTAAGAGCTTCACACTTGTCAGTGTAATCGTTAAATGACAATTTGCGTAGGGTTTTTTTTATAATTGAAACAATAATTATTAATTGTTGAAACAAACAAAGTTTCAGTTTGATCTCCTTGTATTAATCGACTCTCTAAAAGCAGGGCTTGTCTAGGTTGAAACTAAATTGAAATATACGCTTGTAAGGCTACGTGCAGAAGGTACTATATAAACTCTATTATACAATTTGAAATTCTAGTTAGAACGTTTCGAAATATTTCAAACTACGCCGTAATCGAGACGGGAATGTGACTGAATAATTTACTATGAAACATACTGTGGGAAAATTACGCTTCGGTAACACAATCATCATGTATATGAGCGGTCATCAAACCAGCTTTCAGTAACATAAAATACTTACACTATCGGTTAGTGGGTTGTGTAAATGAGATATCCGCAGAGATGTGATGTGGTGGTAATTGATAGCTTTACGTATTTTTAATGATAGTTTTTTTAATGAAACAAGTTTAATAATCTCTTATTTATGTATGTAGATGTACTAGCGACTCAGCCTTATTTTGCTTGGTTCTAGAAAAATAAAGAAATCTATCCCACGGGAATCGTTCATTTTCCGGGATAAAAAAAGCCTATGTGTTATTCTAATATTATATGAGCTATATTATTTTGGAAAGTTTCATTAAACCCCATTCAGAGTAACACACATCCATACATCTATACATCCAGACAGCGGATTTAGCGTGAAAAGGTAGAGGACAGACATACAGATAGACCGATGGACGGACAGAGGGACAGATGGACAGAGTCACTTTCGCATTTATAACATTAGTATGGATTACTATCTCATTCGAAATATTAATATAATATAAATCAAAAAAACGTCAAGAGGTTCTCCAAACATTGTATTTTTTTTATACTTATATTTACAATATTATAGTGTCTAAATGACGTAGAACGAAGAATATGCGGCATTACACTCAAGTATGCAGTAACATCTAACAGCAACAAGGGTAATAAAAAGGCCGTAATAAAAAAACATTTACAAAGAATCAACGCTTAACTCTCACGGTCTTTTAGGGTTCAATTTGGAAATGGGGCGTGTAAAGTAAATTAGTCTAATTTAAAAATAGAGGTCTTTAACCCCTCAACTGTCGCTGTCATTTTACAAAAATATGGCGCATCTGTCGGCTACTTTTCGAGGGCCTGCGCGAAATATGTACGCATCATTAAAATAACAATATTTATTAAAATTTTATATATAAGCTATATATAAAGCTTATATCGTTAGAATCGTTTTAAAATAAACTAAGAATATATATATAAATAAGATCTATTGTATTTAATATTATATAGTTAATTCTAAGTTGAAATTACTGTAAGTGATTTTTTATCAGTATATAGTATGAAAACAGGAATTATTATAAAATAAAACTATTATTTTAAAAACTTTTAATTTCATTTAATTATAGATAAAATATTTTATATTAATTGATTAAAACAACACAACTCACTGTACATTTTTTTTACACCACAAGCTTAACAATAACATGTTTCAATTATGGCGACTTAGCGCCGGATAAAAAAAGAGGTGTTTTTTATACTTGAATTGTAAGAGCATTGAAGATCAAGAGATTTAGGATAATCATTTATATTATAGTTTAGTCCACGTACGTTATACTGACAAAGTTTGAGTTCTTATAACTATTTAGTTTACGAGAATTGAACAATAAACCAAACACTAGAAAATAAGTGCTAAAAAATGTCATCTCGAACTTTGGATCGCAGAGCAAATTCTGTTTAAATTTTCTTTAAAGTATATTTACACCTTACAATTAAGTGATATTTCAAAATGAAAAATATAATAAAAAGACATGTTGCCGTATTAGAATATTTCAGAAATCAATTCTGTAAACTAACAATTTTACTATAAGAATTACAAGGGACAGCTAAAAAAGTATGGATACGACCAATTCCATCACATCTGAACAGATTATGTTATGGAAATAAAATGATAATAAAACATCAATTCAAAATAAAACAACTTTAAATATTAATTCGGAGAGGAATTATTTTTTTTCTACTGTTTTTAAC